CCCCCCCCCCTCAAAAAAAAAAAAAATTGTGAAAGAAGGAAGATAGGCTGGCTAGAGGGATCAAACCAGGTTTCAGGAGAACAGGACGTGGGTACGAAATTAGAAAGGTTTCATGACCAAAATTTTACGGCGGCGTTTCATACTTGGGAGAGATTAATACGAATGAACTCGAACTTGGTTGAAGGTTTCCTCTGTCAGCGGAGACATGTTTTTTTATTGGCTTCTTGTTACTCGTGTAGAAACGATTTCGTCGACTCTTGAAGGCTTTTTATCTGCCCAAAAAAAAAGAGAAAATAAAGATAGTTACGTTGTTTGTAAGTAGTAGGTAGTAATGTCAAGAAACCACCCGTCTTGAGAACACCCTCCTAGCTGAAAACACGTGCATGTATTATATCTTCTCGAATAGGGGATAGGGGATAGCTATACTGCAATGCTCTAGGTGATATGCACATTTCCATGTATCAAATTTATCGCTTTTGACGTTGACAGCTTGTTTTTTTCTCTTCTTCTTTCTCTCTTTATCCTCTCTCTACAGCAACAAAGAGACACCTAGTAAGGATTACATACGGGAATTCAAGCATCCCACTTCTCCCTTCCAGTAAGAAGACTTTGTTTGTTTCCCTTTCCGCCCTCCCAAAACGCCGTACAATATGTTTAACGCATGCAAGCAAGCAAGCAAGCAGTCCGCAATAATCAAAACACAGACTGATCATTTCTGTCTTCCCTTTTTCATTTCCCCCTTCCCCTTCCCTCTCTATATTTCTTCCCTTCTTCTTTGGTTTATCTAGGCCAAAATGAAACGAAAACAGAGGATGAAAAAAGATTCTTTCTTTCCTTCAAGAGGTAATTTTCTTCTGTCCGTCCGTTTACTCCAGTCGGTTCATGCGCTCCCTCTCAACCTCGTAGTTGAAATCGAAATAGCCCTTGTCGAAGTGGTGGACACGGACATAACCGTCCTCTCCTCCAGAGGCATAGCTTCGGCCAGTGGGGTCAGCAGCAACAGTGTTGAGGGGACCGAAGTGACCACGGACACGACCAATCTCGTCTTCGAAAACCTTGTGGTAGAATCTGGCCTCGAATCGACCCTGGCGGCCGGAGGTGGTGGTGACTTCCATGGCGGCCTGACCACCTCCCAGAATAACGAAGTCCTTCTTGGGGGTGATTGTGGCGCTGTTGAGAGGGGTGTCTGCCGTGTAGGTCTTGAGGGTGGCGAGGTCGCGAGCAGAGATAAGCTGTTTGAGGGGGGTCCCGAGTTAGCAGAGTATAACGAGTCAACAGGTTATAAAAAAGATGCTGTACCTTGGCAGTCTTGTCTCGGCAAGCAGTGATGAAGTAGGTCCTGTCGGGTGACCACTGCAGGTCGACGATGGGCTTGTCCAGCTCGTGGGCAGTGACCTTGTCCAGCAGCTCGCCAGTCTTGGCATCGTACTGGCTGACACTGCCGTCCTCGTGGCCGGCGATGATGTACTGGCTGGCCTGGCTCCAGCCAGCAACAGTGGCCTTGCTCTCGTCGCAAACAATGGTCAGGGACCTCTCGTCGGTCTGCTCGGCGTTGATGTCCGGGTTGATGTCGATGACGACGATGTTGCTCAGGTAGCCCATACGCTTCTCAGTAACGCCCAGCAGTTTGGTACCGTCCTCGTTGAACTCGACACGCTTGACGGCGGTGGGGAACTCCCAAGTCTTGAGGCACTTGCCGGTCTTGACCTCCCACAGGCGGATGGTGTTGTCGGCTGAGCCAGAGGCGATCATGGTGGAGGTAGGGTCGACGTCGACGGTCCAGATAGCACCGACGTGGCCGTGGTAGGTTCCTAGACGCTCGCCATTGTGGGAAAACCAGACACAGATCTGCTGGTCCTTTGCGACGGAGAAGATGAGATCACCATCGAGGTTGTATCTGATGCGCAGAAAAACTTGAGTTAGCTCGGGCCTCTCTTATTGGCAGAGTCAAAAGGAGGAAGAGGAGGGGCTGGCGCGAAAAACGAAGAATAGAGCTCTGCTTCTGCTGCTTCTCCTTCTCTCCTGGGACAACAAGCAGACGTACTTGATCTGGGTGAGAGCACGCTCGTGCCCGGCAAGAAGGATGGGTCTCATTTTGTCGGTGATCCTGATGCTGGAAGGCTGAGGAAATAATCAGGGAAGGGGGGGATATAATATGGGCCAGCACGAGGTCGGATTGGAGATGGTGGTGCTTTGGAAATTTTGGCGATAATTGTGCGTCTTGGTGGGGCTAGAGTTGTGGCGCGGGGAGAGTCATTGGTGGCGCGGCCCAAAGGGGAAGGCTTGTGCGTGGGCAAGTGGCTGGGCATGTGTGAATTTTTAGCTCCTTGTCGAATATTCTCACCTGCTTGGTGCAAGTTGCTGTGAACGACCAATGGAGTAATAGATGATCTGGCAGAGCGTTGCCCACGCATCGAATCCCGGGTATGAAGTCTGGCGTGCGGCCACTTCCTAATAGAGCCAAAGCACAGTACTTGGACGATGACTGTCTCGTTTCGCCATTTCCTGAAACAATCACATAGTGAGTCACTTAAGGCACGCAGTTGAGTCACTGTCTTCGCTAGAAGTTAGGCATCGCGCCATATTGCATTGACGACTGCCATGTAGTGCTATTTAACTGAAGATCCTTTATCACAACGCGTTTACCTAAAGGGTTACATAGAGGGCGGGCTTGTTTGTACGATTGAGATGCCGACTTAAAACCGTTGCTAGTAGTTTACATGGGTATGGGCTGAGCTTTGGCTATTCCTCAACAACAGACTCAAAGAAGACAGCAATATTAACCGGCATGCCTTGCAGGTAGGCGAAGGTGGCGTGGACACTCTGCTCCTCGCATTTCATAGGTTCATTATGGCAACGCTACTAATTGTTTATAGTAATACACAGTTAATAGTAATACGCAGTAATATATAATAGTAATACGAAGTAATACTATATAATAATAAACGTTACACTTCGTTCAGCTCCTCCCTAGAGTAGCATCTTACATCCTTAGCGGACCAATGTTGAAGGAATAGTGGTATGTTTCCCTTGCATTGACCCGCTCTCTTTTCTCTTTCTACCATGCATCATGTTGTCTATGAATAAATGCGCTGACACACCGCTCTCAACTGAACGTTTCTTTTTTCCCTGCCGCTCTTGCCACGTCGGCATGCCGATGGTTGAACTGACACCTTTGACGCCATTGCCGCCTCGGTTGTCAACTTGTCTGTTGTCAACATCCGACGAGAAGAAATGCACTGTTTATATTCAAAGAACGTTGTATACGATGAAAAACGAAACACGAAACTACCAAGATGAGAATGCCTGCTTAGGAATCGTATAAACTGAAACTTCCTTCGAGGCAGTAGGAGCAATGCCGCTATGCCGCCATGCCGCCATGCCGCCGGTCTAGATATATGATCCGAAGTGTAAATAACTGCCTGAATTCAGCTCTGCCCGGGCCCTCTCCGGCGATGGTCTTGGGTCAAATCGAATCTCCACATAGCAAGATCCGACACCGTCCCAACACGGTGTTCTATCCACCCTGTGTTGCGTCCTATAAATCTGCCCGTGTCCTCTGTCAACGGTATAATTGTCAATACCATGCCATTTTTCCTCTTATCCAGGCATTGAGCCTTCTCTCCGTGCTTTATTTATCCTGCCCTCTTCGCTTCTCTATATATATTCAGCTACACCATTGATTGTTTGAGTTCCATTCAGCAATAGCGCAGGACGTTAAATTTTTTGCGCCACTATCAAGGTCACGGAGCCGTCGCCGCAAGGACCAACGATCAAGCGAGCCAACCAACGAAATAGCGCCGTGATCTACCTCCGTGTTCCGGACCCTAGATAAGCTAAAAAAAAAAAATTCGAAAAAAAAAAAGTCAAAAGGAGACAAACAAGCAAACAATCGAAATTAGGACTCAAGTGCCCACGCTGACATTAAAGGCCCAGCTGCCTGATCGATTTCTGCCAGCACTCATACGACAGCCCTGCTTGGGACGTTGTACAGGCTTACGTGCAGCGCAATTCCTCGAGGCGTACAGAGTCGAGTCGAACGGTCCCAATTGGGATTTACAGAGCATCATGGCGCCCTGTCAGCGCCTGCGCATGGCCCCCAGGCCCGTCCACAGGGTTCTCTCGCTGTCTCCCAGAATGTCGCAGCGCTGTATCGCTAGCAGCGCTGGAAATACAGCGGGTATCGCCCGCCGCTTGCCGTACCTTTCCGGCAGCAAGGCACCGAGTGCGGCGACTTTAAGCCCCTCAGCGGGCTCAGCACGAGGACTTTTGTCCGCTAATCCTTCCAGCTGGGGAGCTCGTCATTTTCCATCCACGTCGGCGACTTATCCAGCCTCTGTCTCTTACTTCTCCTCCTCATCCTCCCCTTTCCCCTCGTCTCTGCCATCTACAGGCCGATTGCCCTCGCGACTCCAGCAGCAGCGATCGTTTGCGACGACAGCCGCCGCCATGGTTGCCACAAAGCTTGACGGCAACAGCATTGCCAAGGCCATTCGTGAACGCCTGGGCGCAGAAATTGCAGACAAGCAGCAGAAGAACCCCAGATACCGACCCAGCCTCAGGATCATCCAAGGTATGGCTGAGAACGCGCAAGGCAGCAAGGCAGGAGAGAAGTTTCCCCCTTGCTATCTTGCTGCTCACCTCTTCTTGCGCAATAATAGTTACTAACTGGCTGTTTCTTTTCCTCTCATCCAGTTGGCGATCGCTCGGATTCTTGTACGTTCCCCCCTCCATCCTTATCGTAGGATCCTTATCGGGTCAATTTAGAGCCGCGGCTAACCCTTCTTGCAGCTACCTATGTGCGCATGAAGCTCAAGGCTGCCGAGGAGGTAAGGCATATGAAACAATCTCTAGGCTCGTGAAAAACAAAATAAGCAATAGTTGGCTAAGATGCTGTCTCCAGGCCCGTATTGACTGCAAGCTGCTCCACTTCCCAGAGGACATTGCTGAGATCGAGCTCCTCGATCAAATCCGCCGTCTCAACAACGACGATGCCGTCAACGGTATCCTTGTCCAGCTGCCTCTTCCCAAGCACATCTCAGAGCCTGTTATCACATCCGCCGTCGCTGATGAGAAGGATGTTGACGGCTTTGGCACCAACAACATCGGCGAGCTTGCCAAGCGTGGTGGCGCACCCATCTTCACACCTTGCACTCCCAAGGGTGTCATCACCCTGTTGAAGGAGGCTGGCGTTGAACTTGCTGGCAAGAACGCTGTGGTTCTTGGTCGAAGCAACATTGTTGGTGGTCCCGTTGCGCAGCTCCTGAACCGAGCCAATGCCACCGTCACCATCTGCCACTCCGCCACGGCTAACCTCCAGTCCCATCTCAAAAATGCGGACATCGTCATCGTTGCCATTGGCTCCCCTAACTTTGTCAAGGGTGAGTGGCTGAAGCCTGGTGCTGTGGTTATCGATGTGGGAACAAACTACATTCCGGATGCCTCGCGCAAGTCCGGTCAGCGACTCGTGGGTGATGTCGAGTTCGAGTCCGCTTCCGAGGTCGCCTCGGTCATCACCCCCGTTCCCGGTGGTGTTGGACCCATGACTGTTGCCATGCTGTTGGAGAACGTTGTTGAGGCCACAAATACTTTCTTTGAGAACGAAAAGATCAGGCAGACCGTTCCTCTTCCTCTGCGCCTCCAGTCCCCTGTTCCATCGGATATTGCCATCTCTCGGGCTCAGGCTCCCAAGCAGATTACCCGCGTTGCGTCTGAGATTGGTATTGAAGGCCATGAGCTGGAGCCTTATGGGTCATACAAGGCAAAGGTCGATCTGAGCCTACTTAAGCGACTTGCTCACCGACGAAATGGTCGCTATGTTGTTGTCACTGGTATCACCCCAACCCCCCTTGGTGAAGGCAAGTCAACCACGACCATGGGTCTGGCCCAGGCCCTCGGCGCTCACGTTGGACGTGTGACTTTTGCCAACGTCCGACAGCCCAGCCAGGGACCGACATTCGGTATCAAGGGTGGTGCTGCCGGTGGAGGTTACAGCCAGGTCATCCCCATGGACGAGTTCAACATGCACCTCACAGGTGACATCCACGCCATCACTGCCGCAAACAATTTGTTGGCTGCCGCAATCGAGACACGAATGTTCCACGAGAACACTCAGAAAGATGGCCCGCTCTACCGTCGCTTGGTTCCTGCCAAGAATGGCGAGCGGAAGTTCTCTCCCACTATGCTGCGCCGCCTCAAGAAGGTTGGCGTTGACAAGACCAACCCCGACGAACTGACTCCGGAAGAGATCCGCCGCTTCGTCCGCCTTGATATCGACCCAGAGACCATTACCTGGAGACGAGTGCTGGATGTCAACGATCGCCACCTTCGAGGCATCACTGTCGGCACTGCTCCCACTGAGAAGGGACAGTCTCGTGAAACTGGCTTCGACATCTCTGTTGCCAGTGAGTGTATGGCCATCTTGGCGCTCAGCACTGATCTTGCTGATATGCGAGATCGTCTGGGCCGCATGGTCATTGGCACTTCACGCAGTGGAGAGACTGTCACTTGCGACGACATTGGTGCCGCTGGTGCTCTTACCGCTCTGATGAAGGATGCTATCAAGCCCAACCTCATGCAGACGCTGGAGGGCACTCCCGTCTTTGTCCACGCCGGTCCATTTGCCAATATCAGCATTGGCCAGAGCTCTATCCTTGCTGATAGATTGGCCCTGAAGCTTGCAGGCACTGAGCCCGATGAAGACCACAACGAGAAGACTGGTTTTGTCGTTACTGAAGCCGGCTTCGATTTCACCATGGGTGGTGAGCGTTTCTTCAACATCAAGTGCCGCACCTCAGGCCTCGTGCCCGATGTGGTCGTAGTTGTCGCCACTGTTCGTGCTCTCAAGGTGCACGGAGGCGGCCCCCCAATTGCCCCTGGCGCTCCCCTCGATGCTGTCTACAAGCAGGAGAATGTCGACATCCTCCGAGCTGGCTGTGTCAACCTGAGGAAGCAGATTGAGAACGCCAAGTCCTTTGGTATTCCCGTTGTCGTCGCCATCAACAAGTTCGCGACCGATACCGATGCCGAGATCGCTACTCTCCGCGAGGAGGCTCTCGCCGCTGGTGCGGAGGATGCTATCCTTTCTGACCACTGGGCCAAGGGTGGCCTTGGTGCCGTTGATCTGGCCAAGGGAGTCATTACTGCGAGCGAGAAGCCCAAGGAGCTCAAGCTGACCTACGGCCTTGATGGCACCATCGAGGAGCGCCTTGAGGCCATTGCCCAGAAGATGTATGGCGCTGCCAAGGTCGAGTTCAGCGAGCTTGCTCAGAAGAAGATCGACACATACACCAAGCAGGGCTACGGCCACCTGCCCATCTGCGTTGCTAAGACTCAGTACTCTCTGTCGCACGACCCTGACCTGAAGGGGGCGCCCACTGGCTTTACCGTGCCTATCCGAGATGTTCGCATGGCTGCCGGTGCCGGTTACTTGTAAGTTATTATACTCCCCCTAAGAATACCTTGAGAATTTTAAGGTCAAAGTACTTATGCTAACTCCATTTCCAGGTATGCTCTAGCTGCTGACATCCAGACCATTCCCGGTCTCCCCACTGCCCCTGGCTATCTCAACGTTGATGTCGACCTGGAGACTGGCGAGATCGACGGTCTTTTCTAAGCCAAACGCAGACTTGTCTCTTCTTCTTCTGATTTCTTCCTCCCGGCATTCATGACTGGTACTGATTTGCCGCATTGTCGACTTTTTTTGTTTTGAAAATATTATATACCCAGAGACTCAACGTGGGGCACATAAGGATATAAGGAATTTTGGATTTTATGACTGGTGCATCTTCAACATATGGCGCAGGCATGCAAGGCACAGGGTTATGATTTGGACAATTAACCCGCTTAGAGTTAACAAGAGCTACTACTAGAGCACAAAAGAATGACTTTAGAAAGCACTCACGCTTTTTTTCACCATTCCTTTCCCCTTCGTTTTTTACTGACTACGTATATTTAAACCTATGTACTATTATGAGGCAAGCACGCGATTGCCAGATGAGCGACCGAAATTAACTGTCGGCTCATATATCCGTATTTTCTAGAATGTAAGAGGTACTAGATATTTGTCATTAAAGAGACTGCATGACAGATACGGTAAACGAAATTGGGATGCAATGTGTAGCTGCCAATAGATATGGAGACTTGGGCCGGTCGGATGAATCGATCCGGGTTGGGATTCGGAGGAACTGTTGACCGAGAAGATGCTTCTGGTCTAATACTACATACTTCTGGAGGAGCCAAGTGGAGGTGATGCGGAGATGAGAGGAGTTGATGATTGAACATCTCTCAGATATCTTTTCAGAAGAAGCATGTTACTTTGGTATGAGACTCCTGTTTTTATATAGCGAATTACATGTCACGTATTTTTTAAAGGTTGGTGAAGGGTATTAGGCGTGATTTTATTAATGCCGTTATAGTTACAATCAGCTGCCTGTCCAAAACGCCGGAGCCAGATGCGCTCAAATCCATTGCTTCCCTAAAACTCTAATCCAAATGTGCCATCGAACTTGATTTTCGCGGTCTTGAGCGTCTCTCGTACTCTGTCGTCTATAGTTTGGTCGATATTGTCCAAAGCGTCGTCATTTGATTGTCTCACTTCTTCTTTCAGATCTTCCGTCGCTTGAGTCAATATCCTGCCGCTTTCCTTCTCCATTTCTGTAATTGCATCTTGGCAAGCCCATCTTAGATCTGTTGCGCAGTCGTCAAACTGGTTATTCATCTCTTCAAAGATCTCTTCTTTCTCTTCCGTTCCATATCGGCACGGACTGCGGCCATTATCTAGTGCGTCTCTGAGATTGTCTTTGATATACCGTTCTAACCCAGAAACTCGGCTTTCCATGGCATTAAAGCGCGTCTCAATCCGATTTTCGATATTGTCTAGGCGGCATACAACATCTTTCAGAAGAGTTAGGACACGAGTTACACCAGCGGACTCATCATCTGAGTTATCAGCTCGGCGGCGTTTTTCTGTTACAGTTAGCTTTAGTCGAGCAAGGATAACATAAAATGATAGAGAAGAATTGGTGGTGCTCACTGGAACTTTGAGGATAAGGCGCAGATCCCGCGTACGGAGGGGGACTTTCTTCGGTATGCGTGAATTCTTTCTTCTCAGCAATCTCGCCTCCATTACCAGCATACAGTGTAGCCGGGTTTGCCCGCGGCAGATCTGTACGTGGACGGTCTTCAAGGCGATCGCCCGAAAATGTCTTTTCAAGTAAATCGAATTCTGCTTTACTTAGGATTGCATTGGAACTGTCGAGATGCACAATGAACTTAGTCACGCTGGCGAGGTCTTCAATCAAACGTAATCGAGTTTTCGTTCTGCCTTTAGACTCTAAAGGACGTCCTTTGGGGCGTATCAAATCAGGCGCTTGTGTCATCGTGATACATAGTGAGTAATGCCTAAGCTGGAACGTCTTGGAGGTTGAGGGCTGTGGGTTGTGATAGATGTTGTACTTTATAGCTTGAATCCTTTCAGGATATATGTATAAATAAACAGCCTGCTTATTACTCTTGCCTTTGCCACCTCTGAGGATAACATAAGCATGAAGCTTGAACATTGCTGTATTGGTTGAAGTGTTCAAGTACGCATCAAATGAGACATCTTCCATCTGGCAACGCTGTTGGCTAGCATCGTTCCATGTTACTCTGCTCTTTTGATAGGATATATCGATCACGGCGGCGTTCTTCTCTTTTTCACTTTCAGTCACGGCTGACGTTTCATCGATGCTATTCTTAATCATTTCATCTCCATCGTCAATGCTGTTGAATTTGTCATGGCGATCATTTTGAGAGGCACTAGAGTGTCTGAAGTTAGAATACATTAGCAAATCACATATGGTGGAAATCAGGCCCGGCTATATGCAGTTCCCCTGATCATGGCCGATGAATACAGTGAGTAGCGGAGCTTCAAAAGTCCCCCCGCCCTTCAATGAAAACACTGCTGCGGATAATGTACTGGCAACGGTAACAGACAATAGTAGCTGCTACCAAACAAGATCCCAACCCCTCCGCTGACGCAAGTCAAGCCATGAGCTGAGTGCGTAGGGCTGGCATTGGAATTTTACGACCTTGTCTCGCAGGAACAGTCCCGAGGAGTATCTTCACGAGAGCAGGACAGTGATCCACGCGAAGCGATAGCTTGCCATGAATGCGGAGCTTAAAAAGTCCTCCGCTCCTCAAGGAAAACACTGCTGCGGATAATGTACTGGCAACGGTAGCAGACAATAATAGCTGCTACCAAACAAGGTCCCGACCCTTACAGCGGAGTCAACTCGAGAGTCGACCAGCGCGTAGTGGGCATCGGAATTTTACGACCTTGTCTCGCAGGAACAGTCCCGAGCAACATCTTCGAGAAGAGCAGAATTGCTATTCACGCAGAGCCATGGCTTGCTGGAGTCGCATAAGGACATCTCACTGACCCAGGCGAGGAAACAGGTTGCGTTGCGTCGTTGTCTTCCTCATTGTAGATGGTGCCGTCATTCATTGCGGAATAATCTAGGCGATGAATCGATTAAGGCGAGATACATGGGTTGGCTGAGAGATGGGTCGAAAGGTTGGGTGAAGCAGAACAAATGGCGCAGCAGCGCGTAGGATTTAAAACGACGCCTCCTTACACTGTCACATGACTTATACCAGCCAATCGAAAGCCTCAGTTACTTAACTGCAGCTGGAATTGGCTAGTGAATCAAGCTCATTTTGGCGTCTTCTCACGTGACTATTAGATGCATGAGGCACAGTGCGGATAATGTTGTTTCTCGTGTTTGATATCGCGGCAGATTCTGGACTTGGCGAGGTATTGGATTCACTTTCTTCAGGGGATTTACCGGCAAAGTTCTATACTATCGACTCTGCCCGATATCTCTCCCCGCTTGGCAAACTAGAGACGGGCTAGAGATCACAGTCGTAGCACTAGCAGATCCAATGAACTGACTAGTAGTACCAAGTTCAAAACCTAGTACTAACCAGGTTCTCTCAACTACCCAGGTAACCAGATTCAATGAATGTGGTGTCTTGTGGAATACACGTATAAAAACTTCATATTGGCTAAAGAGCAATTTGATGTTGGCGGCATTCAGAGTAGTATCTCCCTCTGGGTTGCATCATTCCCGTCTGCGGAGTAATCTGGTGGGTGAGCCCACAATGCACATTAAATGTAATGGTGTAGACACACACAACCAGCACTTGTGTCATGCCATGCAGCGTATCTTGCGATGCAAGACGTGAGGTTGATAGAGGAGTACGGAGTGCTACGTATGTATGTACGTGTATATAAGATCGAAGGATTTTAGCACTCCCCAATAGCGTGCACCGGAGATGGCCTTGGCGAGACGAAGTAAAATAGCAATATTAGGTGGAATAAAACTACTCTTAAGGCGAAAACAGGGAAAAGAACAGAAAAAAAAAACCCCCCCGCGAATCATGCCCTCCATCCAATTTCCAAAATGCAACCCCTTGATGGCCATTAGTCTGCGGACATGTTGCCCTTTCTATAAACCCGCCGGAAACGAAATCCGTATCCCGAAGCCCTACGAACAACAGCTGCAGCTCTCCCTGCATGTGGAGTTGGCAAAAGCCACTGTGCCGGATCTTGGTCTTCCCGAGAGACGAACCGCCACTGACCGTCGAGGTATTGGCAGCATTTTAAATCTTAATAGGTTAATTGTCGGTGTCTGATGCGGGGGCTAGAAACGACAAGACGGAAAGCTTACTTGGTGGCCAATATGGATTGGGGGAGATGAAGCGCATCGATTAGGGAGCTGTGGTGGGCATATCCACTCTGCAGTATCATATTAGTCCCTGCGGAGTGTCTTGGTTATAATATTGTGCTTTGCTGTCCATCTGTGGCGTTTCTTCCATCTTTACTCTATTCTCTACATCTAGGGCAGAAGTTGATGCCTTTTTTTTTTTCTTGGGGGGGTTCTCTGTCTGTTAGCGGCTTAGACGGACCGAGTAGTGAGACAGACTATTCACTCACTTTTGGGTCGAGAAGACTCAAAAGACTCTTTCCCCGCTTGATTTGGCCTGAGACCAAGCACTCTGTGCTGTTTAATCTTCACCAAAAGGTCTGCTTACGGTGACGGCGTCGTCGACAGGCCGTTGTAGACAACAATGGCGCTAATCCCCGTCGCGATTGCGGTGCTGGTCGCCTACCAAATTATATCATCTGCTTTGCGCCTGCGGCATCATATCAATGAAGCCAAGAGAAGCGGGTTGCCTTATATTGTTCTTCGTGCGTTCATTTACACTGAGTCTCCTGCCGACCCTCTGTATCTCTGTGAGCCACACTAACATGGTGTCATCAAAATGTAGCTTGTTCGCCGTTCTGGATAGGATGGCAAGTGACCCATAAGCTATGGATTCCTCTCATCAAGTTACTTCCAAAGTCATGGTGGGATGGGTGGCTCGAGTATGACTGATGCCCTGCCTTGCCGTCTCTCCACATCTCAAAACTTTGTCGAGTGGCTAACAACTTTTGTCTTCAAGCATCATGAACCCCAACTTTGTATATCGAACTCGCCACGAGTGGTTCGCCAAGGTTGGCGAATCTTTCTTCCTTGTTTCTCCTGGCAGACTGATGCTGCTCACGGACAATGCTGAAACGATCCGTACCATCACGCTGAAGCGAGAGCAATTTCCCAAATGGACTGCTGTTTACAACATTTTGAGGCAGTTTGGTGAGAATGTTTTGACTACTGAAAGCAGCATCTGGCGCATGCACCGCAAGGTTACCTCGCCTTCGTTTAACGAGAAAAATGCTGCCTTGGTTTTCCGTGAGGCCATCGCTCAGACTCAAGGCATGCTGCGTATGTGGGCGGGCCCTGAAGGCAACACCCGAAAAGAACCACTTGTCTCTCTGCAGAGGGACACGATGAGATTGGCTCTGAATATCATCAGTTATGTTGGCTTCGGCATGCGACTACTGTGGCCGGGAGAGACACACGCAGCGGGAACAGATCCCAAGCTGTTGAAATACGGCTCTCATAAGCCTTCGGCCGGACACCAGCTGAGTTTCACAGATACAATGGAGTTTCTTCTCGAGCATCTTTTGATTTTACTGGTTTTCCCACGATGGATCTTGAGTGAGTATTCTTTTGCATCATCATATGATATCTTTGCTTTGTATGAGATGCTAATGCTCTGGATTACAGAACTTTTGCCTTTTGAGAAGATCAAGAAGGCAGTGCTGTCTTACGACGAATATGTCAAATACATGAACGAGCTTTTGGACGAAAAGATTGAAGACGCACGCAAGGGAGACCACATAGAAGGCATGGATCTCATGGGCCAGCTTGCGAAATCATGTTTCGGAACCGACAACAAAGATGCCACCTTGACTCGCGAGGAGATCATCAGCAATGCTTTCATCATGTTCGTGGCTGGCCACGAGACAACAGCCAACACTATTCACTTCACCCTCATCTTCCTAGCAATGAACCCCGACGCGCAGCGCAAGATTCAAAAGGACATTGACGACATCCTCCAGGGCCAGGACCCGAAAGATTGGGACTATGACAGCTTGGTCAACCCCATGACGGCCAGCATGATTGGTGCCGCGATGCACGAAACGATGCGACTCATGTCCCCTGTGGTTGTGATTCCCAAGGTCACCTACAGCGACCAGCCCTTGGTCATGGACGGCAACAAATATGTGATTCCCAAGGACACGGGCATCTCATTGGTGACGATTTCTGCACACGTTAACCCCCGTTACTGGCCAACACGACCAAGCAAAATCACCCCTGGCAAATCCAACATTCTCGACTATGTTCCAGAGCGGTGGTTCCAGAGCCTGGATAAGGACAGCAGCGCGGGCAGCGAAGACGTTGCCGGTGCCGACTCGGAAGACTTTGGCGGTTTCCAGGGCTCAGACATCAACGCGCAGCTCTTCAGACCCGAGCGCGGATCTTACATTCCCTTCAGCGACGGGGCTCGATCGTGCCTGGGACGGCGCATTGCCGTGGTGGAAATGATGGCGGCGCTGGCCGTCATTTTCCGGAGCTACAGCGTCGAACTCGCGGTGGACGAGTGGGCATCGCAGGAACAGGTCGATCAGATGAGTCGGGAGGAGAGGGCGCGCATCTACAGGAAGGCGCAGGATACGAGCCGGTGGACGGTGGGACAGGCGACGACGAGGCTGACGCTGAATTTGCACGACGGCCAATACGTGCCGGTGCGCATCGTCAAGCGGGGAGAGGAGAAGTTTGTGGACTGGGTGGATAGAGAGTGATTGGTGAAGTGACTGCGCGACTGGAAATCCTGGAGCTGTGTCTCTCGGCTGCTTTTTGTGCGAAGATGGCAATTTTTGTTTCATGTATGTTTTCCTCCAACTACGAGCCGGCTATGAGAATGTCAACACTGCATAGCATTAGCATAAAATACCAAGTACCTTGACGAATAACATGTGTATATATAGGATTTCCGTCAAGGCCTAATACCCATCAGGGATGCAGCGTTGGGTACGAAAGCAACAGAAGAAGCCGCCGCCAGATACCCCGTCTCTATCACCATGCCAGGCATCAAATGCGGAGCTTTCTGCAGTGTGCCATCTCCAGCACCCCATACTCGATGGCACTCTAGGTCAACTGGGGCAATATCAGGCAGTATCAATCGATACCGCCGAGTCACCATCTTTCACCCCGGGAGCGTCAAACACACGGGCTCCATGCGCAGCAGATGCACTGTAAATATAAGCCCGTTATTACCTGACTGATACTCTGGCTCAGCCCTCGACGGATTTCCACTTCTCAATCACACAGCAAAAAAACAAACTTCTCTCGCCGGCGACAGCTTGCGCATCAGCGGCGCTCTGCCCCCATTTCATCCCGGCCAATGTCGACCAGCCCAGCTCTCCAGCGCCATCACTCCAGCCACGCACCACGTCCTCGGCGGGTACCGCCTGTTAGTGCGAGACCTCGCAAGTGCCGGCACCCCGCCGCCTGCCAGCGTGGCACTCGCAAACGCAGCAACACGCGGGCGACTTGCCCCTCCTGCCTTCAGCCACACGCAGAGAACCAGCGGGAGAGGGAAATGGCGTCTAGTCCTAAAGAGGCCAACATAAACAAGACAAATAGCGAGCCTTGTCCCGCGCGAGCCTTTTATTATTTTTTTCCCAGTCTTCCATCGCCCCCCGCACCCGCCCAGCAGCGCCCAGCAACCAGCGAGAAAACATTCGACATCCCACTTTTTGGTTGGAGTCGCAGCCCTCGCTGATACCGCGCAATACAATAAGCCCTTGTAGCTGATGCTTTATATTTTACCGATACTATATACTAGGTATTACTTGCTACAGTCTGCAATATATCTCAAGACACTCTTATAAGGACCAAAGAGAAAGAAAGAAAACAAGACGGGAAACACACACACACACACACACACACACACACACACACACACACACGTTGCTTCTGTTGGCTGCCGTTCTGAAATCCAGCGCGAGTGCTGCGGAGAAAACAAACCGAGCTCTCCAAGCCAGCCAATCAAATAACTCAGTTTCTTTTGGGGAACGCAACACACACACACACCGCAAGAATATTATTGGGCATTTGAATCGTTCGAACCTACATCTTATTTTATTTTACCTTTTTTTTTTCTTTGCGACTAAAGAGAAAGAGATAAACGCTTGTCATCGCATCGCATCGCCTCGCATTACGTCGCAGCGCCGCGCATCGCCATCTATCGCTTCCGTATCGCTATCGCTGCATCGCATCTGTAAACTGTCACCATGTCCGCCACTGCGCCCTCGAATGCCTGGCTGCGCGGTCAGCGCAAGAGTGATCTCGTGGAATTGGCCGAGAGTGTCGGGCTCCAGAAGTGAGTTTTGTGATTTTATGCTTGTAGTTTTCCTTTTGGCTCCTGGTTGCGCTGCGCATTTCAACAATGCTGTCGCATATCCGTCCCTTGCGTCATTGTTTTGTTTGCCGTTGTTGCACTCGCCGCCTTTTCCAGAGCCATGGCGCGGTTGGGTGTAGCTGCGCGCGCGTAGCGATTGCTGCGACAGGCGCGATGGAGAAGCAGCAGCTTCAAGAGCAACCTCGTTTTTGGCCATCCTCGCTTCTTTCTACTTCCTTTTCCTTCATGCCGTCTTTTCCTTTTCTTTTCCTTTTTTTTTCTTCCTGATCCGCTCAAATCCCTCCACCCCTCGCCATCGGCGCGTCGCCGCATTACCACCTTCACTGCTCTAGACAAAAGTAAACAAAAAAGCAAGCTAACACGGGCGTCGTTCCGGGAACTAGCTACGATGGTCTCAAAAAGTCGGAGCTCGAGACTGCTCTCGATGAGTTCATTGCAGGGAACAGCAGCCGCTTTTCCAGCCGATCTGAACTGTCGGGCTACTTCAACAGCCGGTCCAAGGCGATGGGCTCTCCCGTCAAGCGAGAGTCCAAAGAGCCTATCAAGGAAGAGCTGGAGAAGGGCATCAAGGCGATCAAGCGGAGGGCGACCAAGGCTGCTGAGGATCTGGCTGCAACGTAAGTATTTCCCGGCAAATATGTCTGCATTATTGGCCCTGAGATCCGCCACCTTCTTGGGCTTGGCCAAGCAATCATCGTCAGCTTCTCTAACCTGCTCTCCAGAGATGCCGAAGACGTCCGCGCCGCTTCAACTGCTCTCATCCAGACTCCCGCTCGTAGTCTGTCGCAAGTTGCGTCACGCATCTCACTGCCCGCGACCCCGGCCGACGTAGCCAACGCTGTCGATCGCTCAACCATTGCCGTGCGCCGTCGTGTCTCATCCATCTACCAGGAGAGTGGCATTGGCGAGGCTTCAAATGCTACTCGAGAGACTCTCAGCAACGTTACCAGCATTCTCCTTTGCGTCTCCGCTTTCGAGCTATGGTACATTCGACCTGAAATCCTAGCTAACCGCTATGCATTCACCGTTCCTGCCGTCGGTTTCCTCGGCACCTCTGATTATCCCGTGTACCTGCCTGATATGTTCCTCCTGCTCACCGCGAGCTTTTGGTCACCCGCTCTCACCTGGGCATTTACCAGCTTTATTTTGCCTAGCCTGTTTGGCTACTTTTTCAATCTCAGCTCTGCCAGCAGCTCTCATGGGCCCAAGACGCGCTCTCGGGCTAGCACTCCGGAGACTTCTGTCGATCCTTTGACCTACAGCATTATCAAGGCACTCGTCTCCTTCGTCGTCTATGGCCAGGGCGTCACTTTTTGTGGTCTCCTCTCTGAGACAGCTATTGATCGACTCGACGGAGCCGTATATGGAGGCTACAAGGGTATTCTGACCGGAACCGCCATCACTGGCTTACTTAGCATTTACGATGCGGTTCTGAAGAAGTAAATGGGCAAAGAAGAAACTTGCTACTGTGGGACGAGACTTCCATAACCCCGAATAACCTCGGGGTACTATGCGATTTAGCATGGTGGCGTAACGAAGGGAGGAAAAGCGGCGTTTTAGGTGTTGGACGGCGTCAAAGCGCGACTCTATCAATGCTGTTTATTTTTCTTGCCTTGGCTATCCTTTTCTTTTTCTGATTTGCCTTGATTTTCTTCGATACCATGCCCTCTTGCTCGGTCTTGGAAACATGCTAGCTTGGAATGCTGGTAAACATACTTGAACAGGGAATTGGCTTTCTTGTCTCTGGTTTAAGCCAAAAAACCACCTTTTTATCGTTGCTTTCCCTCATCTTGTTGCTTTCATTCTTCTGATTCTTCTCCGAGGAAGTATATCATGTAGCTCCAATGAGCTCATTTTTTAGCTGCAAGGAGGCTATATTAAGACTTCTAAGCAGCGAGGGCATGTATTGGCCTCAAATATTTATTACTCGGAAGGAGCTTTTCCGAAGGACGGTTATGCAATTTGCTCGCCCGACTCTGCCGCCATGGCGCGTTCCACAATGAATTTTTTTTCAACGTTCTGAAGCTGGGGGTGTTTCTGCCATTTTGGTTTGCGACGGATTATGATTTTAAGTAACTTGGGCTATTATGGGAGAGGGGAGCAAGGTCTTTTTGATGTATCTTAGTTATCTTTTATTTGCGTTTGAACTGGGTGGGATTGGCGATTCTTCGCTGGAGGAAAGGGAAACTTGGTATCTTGTACGCGGTAGATGAATTAGGTCACGAGTGATATGAAAATGTCCCCTTTCTTTTTTTAAATGTGTAAGTATATATATATACATATCCAAGAGTGCTTCATTCCTGAAAAGTTATTTATGAAACCTCTATATCTATGCACCAGCCATGTATCGGCTGAATCCCAAGTGTCTATCCTAATACCAAAAAGAACGTTGAATAACCCATCTTCGCTCGCATGACTAATTCCCTCAGGATAAAGAAAAACAGTTACTGTGTTGAACTAATCCGTTCCATTCAGGGAAACAGAATCAAAGCCGCAAACCTCAGCTAATATATATGTATATATATATTGGCGCTGAGGAGCAAATAAGAAGGAAAGAAAAGTTAAAAGAGTATAGAAAGAATAAACGCCAATTTCCATATGCATCCGCCCGGCTGAAAAGTAAATGCGCCACGCTTAAGTTTGCTGAAACCAATGTTTTTATCCTTGATCCTTTTTTAATTCATTTTTTCATTTTTTTTTTCAAGGCTTATCTTCAGGGCTTTCCCATTTAATTGGGTGCATGAGGAAACTTCTCAAACACATGCGGCCGCTGCTCGTTTCAGCCTCCTCCTCTGCTTTCCCACCTCGTAGCTTGCCCCCTCCTTCTTTTCGATGGCCATTTCGACCTCTGCCATCCAGTTGAGCAAAGCCCAGCCAACGCCGCCATAGAAGGCCTGAAAACTCGCTGTTATAATACCAGCTTGTGCCCTTGTGGTTGTGTTCGTTGCGTAGATCGAATGGGCTGCCCACAGCCGAAGTCGAGTGGTCACGTCCACCGTTGAAGATTTTGTCAACTGAGCTGCCGAGAGGGTCCCAAGCACGGTCCAAAAATGTTGGGTGAGGTGCGTATACAGCCTTGAATCCATGGTGAAAGGCCACACTTGCAGGGAACATTTCAGTCCACATAGTGCGGTGATGGCGCCAAATCTCCTCATGCATCGCCAACAAGAGTCGACGGCTTAGTCGAGATGCCGTGATGATGACGCATCGTCTTGGAGGGGTTTTGCCATAGCCGGTCGCGTCATTAGAGAAGACCCAGGCTGAGCCATGCACATCAAAGATGGGATTCAACGTAATGAGATCTGCCGCCTCACCGACACCACATTGCGGGCTGTTTCTGTCATCCGCACACGAAGCGGGTATGATGGACCGTCCATGCTGCTCAAATCGGAGCTGCTTCGTTTCAGGAAATTCCACAGGACCAAACACCGGCGGCTGACCAGAGTCGGCTGTATATTGCTTGACGGCAGTCGTGAAATTGTCCCAGCTACCGTGGTGAGCGGGAATATAGTAACGCGAATTGCGTTCCCACAGAAACGGACGGGGCTGCCGGTCTGCCCAAACACCCAAGCGATCAAATAGTTCGTACCAGTTGCCCAAATATCGCATATCCATCTCCCAGTTCCAGAAATGTTCGTATTCTGGGTGCTGCAAGGCGAAAACCTGAAGCGGCATATGGGCGCTGCGATAGACGTCGTGTATTTCTTTTTTGCTGGGGTTACCAATTGGCTCCTCGAATTTGCCTGGATAGAATAGCTTCATTTGTGCTTCGCTCCACAGCGTCACCAGTCCATGGAACTCGGGAGGCACGTGGGCGTCCAGCAACTGTTGTACCGTCAAATCATCGGACCAAATAGGCAAATCGTTGTCCTTCACGTGCAACAGAAAGTGGACATTGTACTCTCCACCAGATTTGAGAGCTAGCTCGTTGATCATAGCCCGGAGGTTAAGTACTGTGAACTGCGTCCACTTGAAGCCGGTATACAGGCGGAGCACTACAGCGATTCGACTCTTCTTACCTTCCTCAAGCTTGAGCACTTCGGTCTCTGGGTCTGGCTCTGCGAATCGGTGCTTGTTTGCGGTGGCACATCGCTCCTGCACATCGCCCCAATCAATCTGGCCATAATCAATTTGGCCCGTTTCTTCCCAAACAGCTTCGCTTCCCGAGGACTCTGTGTCGACTCCCACGCCCGCGCCACCATCTTCCATGTCGTAGCCGAAGCCATATGGTCCATAACGACCAAATCGGTCGAAACAAATGTCATCCCGAAGGCCAAACATTGAGTAAGATCCAAAGGCTGGGTCAGGCATATATTGCGGAATACCTTCATATGCATATATGCTAGGAGCCGGGATCTTCTCGTCATTGTCGAGATAACAGGTTTTAATGCTCGAATCAGACGTGTTATACGGATTGTAGGGTTTAGGTTTGGGGATCTCTTGGCTAAGTGGAGGTTCGCCGAGAGGAGCTTTGTGAGCGGGATTGGGATATTCGGCAATGTGCTCAGCTTTCTTAACCAGAGCTTTAAGACCATGGAAGTAGCCGTTCAAACTAAACGCAAGATTAGTGTTAGTGGTCCAGTGCCTCTCTAATGCGGCCAAGAAACTTACTGGGGAAATTGAAGCCATGGCATCTTCTTGATGTCTTCATCCCATTTCCTCTGATTCTCTGCGTCCTCTTCTGCGCTCAGTTCATCTTTGTCGTCCATGGGTAATTGGACCCTCTGGTCATCTTTCTCTTTCTCTTGCTCAGTTGTTTTTGCCTGTTCCTCTTTGATGATCTTCTCTTGGTCCTGACCACTCCCCCCCTCTTTCTTTCCTTCTTCTGTTTGCGTCCCTTCCGGTTTGTTGCTCGCAGTAAATTCTTTCTTCCCTTGATCTACCTTCTCTGATGGTTTACCCTGCTTATCTTTGTTCTTACCCTCCACAATCACTAAAACAGGGCCACCATCTTCATTCCCAATTATTGTAGGCTGCGGGGGCGAATACTTTGTTGCAGTAGCAGGTTGAGCGAATCGGGAGCTTGCCTCAGTAACAATACCATCGCCAGCTTTGAAGAGGGCAAGTGACACAAGAATCATGCTTGCGACAGTCCATATTAAAATTCTCCGATAAAAGCCTCGGCCGAAGATAGAAAGCCCTCGAACTGGCTTCGTTTCCATGACATTTTCTGCATATGGTAATAACGGCTCATTGTTTCTATTTGTCGAAGAGTGGGAGCTGGAACGGCTACTAAAGCTGAGAAGTGAGGCCGTGCGCTCCATGGCGGAGGGAGCGAGGCTAGGTGATGAACACCTGCGGTTCGGAAGGTCGTAAGCGTCACAGTCGCAAAGCCTTAGATGTGGTACACTTCGAATTTCAACAATCTTCTAGCCACAGGGAAATAATCGGATAGGTAAGGGAAATTAGGAGAACTAAAAATATAATGTAAAGCAAAAAGATGCAAAGAAAAGCAAACGAAAAGCCTATTGCGTGACTGGTGAGATAGTGGCAACTACTGCCGTCTTGGAGGGGCAGAGTCAAGTGGGAGAAAAAAATAATGGGAAAAGGAAGAGAAAAGTCTGGCGATGAAATGGCAAGCCCACAGAGAGGCTTCTTGAGGTTCCGCAAAAGGAATCAAGATAATAGAGGGGAGATAAGAAGAACACAAGTAAGGGTATGGATGTACAAGATTTTTGGTGATCGACGACGGCGAAATGGCCGGTGCAAGGACTCCGTAGTCGCAATAACCATAAACCTTGTATAGGAGGCCAGGCGAAAAAGCGGCTTTCCAGGGACCCCAGAAGAGACCGCTGGCCAAGTGGGAACAGGCAGGAGCCGCCGGGCACACGGTTCAACCCTGCCTTAACTACCAGCTGCCAAGTGCCAAGTGCCCAGGCGCGCGCAAAGAGCGATCGACAGGCAGGTGTGAGACAGAAGCAACAAAAGAAGAAAGAAGGAGAGAAGAGAAGAAGTGCGGACAAAGACACAGATAAGATGCTGGGCGGCAACTTCGACAGATAGACTTTTTTTTTTTTTATCAGCCACTAAAAAAAGAACGGTTGCGGCGTTTCAAGCCTGATGGATCCAAGGCTGGCTCTCTTTCTCGTCTGCAACTCCGTAAGGCAGACTCCATCAGGCAAGACCTATTTTGGATCTGGCAGCGGATTTATTTCAAGAGTGCAAATACTAATCCGAACCGCCCTCGCCAGGCCGGCTTATCGAATAGGAGCGCGAGGCGCATCTGAGAACGATGGGGAACTGCAGCCATGGAACGAGCGCATCCACACAGACACATAGAGACGCACAGTCAGCTTCAAACGACCGCCCAGTGGTCCACTATAGAAGAGGGACCATGTCTTGCCTACGGCAGCCTCCTTATGCATCAACGACGCTTCAATGTCTCTATTGCCCAGCCATACCCTGCTGAACGGTGGGTGAGCTGAAACTCCCATGAACATACTTGTCGAGTGGTCAGCTCAATTAGGACTGGATCAGCCACATATCATGTTCCCTGCTATGAGTACTTGCCACCACAGACAAATTGCTACATATTCAGCCCGAAGAAATGGCGGCTCCAAAGGACAAGAATGATGAGGAAGTTGTCGAGCGAAGCTCTGCTTGGATATCGTGGCCGCGCGGCTCTGATGCTGCAGCATGCAGCGAATGCAAATGCGATAGCGTTGCGGCTAAACCTGTCAATCGCATCCATCATTACAACCGCATCGTGCCCTCTTCGAAGCCGCTGGGCTCCGCTAGTCCAAGAAGTCTCCCACTAACCTAATTAGCTCCAGTATCACCGCAGTTTGTCTATCCCTAGCCAATCAGCGCAGCACGAGCCACAGCCGGGACCGCATACGGCTGCCCCGATACGGCTGCCACAGTACGTACCCCTGTGAGCTTTCCACCAGCGTTTGGTCTTTGGCCTGTCGATCAGCCAGCTATTGCGTCATCACCGTCGTACATACAAAGTCGAGTAGGAGCGCGGCTGTGATGAGAGACAAAGGGGAACGATTCAGCCAAAGTTTGAAGTTCATATGTTGGCTGGGGTCTCGTTTGAGGAGGGAGAAGGGGCTCAAAACTGCTTAAAAGGCCATATTGCTCCTGCGCCCTATTTCGGGATGATCGGGCTTCCTTGCCGCTGAGAGTGGAAATCCATTGACGCTGGAGAAAGAAAAAAAAATAGGCGGGACGCAGTTGACGTGGGCCCGTCGTATCCTTGCCATCCAACCATCCCGCCGGCACAACATGAAACACGCGTTGACGACAGGGGTAGAATAGCGCAGTGTACATTCTGAGCCTCCCGAAATCCCATGTTGCTGCTTCTTTACAGCCTATTAACAGCCATTCAGCATGGAGGTACATACATTATTCTGCTATCAAGTGAGATAGCAGTGGAAGTTAGCCACACTATCGTCCATTGCCCTCTCTTTTTAAATACTTCATGATAGTACTTACTGCTCGCAGCCTACAGCTCGTGCTCTGCCGAGATTCTCCTTTTCCAGGCCGGGGGGCAAGCCATCTCATCAAATATTACGGAGCAACAGAATTCTCATTCCGCTTCCACCTACTCGTATCAACATCCTGTGGAGCTGGATTTTCATTGTCATCTCGTTCGCTCGCGCCCCATGGAGAGTCTCTTGGCGTAAGTCATAAAAGTGGCCCATTGGTTGCATAGGGTGACAAGAATCGACTGCCAAGACTCTTCTACGCTGGTTTTGGTCTACGCAAACGGACTGTATGCCCGCCTAGCAATCCGGTGTTGCCAGGTCTCGCCAAATCCCCTCCCCAACCAGCTTCTCGTTTGATCGCTCGCCATGATCCCACATAAGCATGCATGCGGCATACGCCCAGTGTCCGACATGGCTGCTATCGCAATATAAATCTGCCGCTGCCGAGCAGAACTCGCTGCATCTCATGCCGACGGCTGAGACATTCACACATCAAAGGCGGAGGTCAATCAACCCTAATTGATTACCGTCATATCGATCAGTGCCATACATAATTGGCGCCGGCTAGGGTTAAAAATAGATTTAGCTCGGGGAATTTACGGAGTACTGATATTGCTATACGAATTACGAATTGGCATTCATGTCAATCACCAATGCCGCACAAAGCAGGATATCTGCTTGCATCCAATCGACAAAAGCAGCAGACAGTTTGGCGATGGCGACAAACCACCAACTCAGTACCATGAGATCATATAGAGACCGTATCAAGCAGGGGGTCGTATAGCTCGGTGGCGTATAGCTCTTCAAAGCGCTCATGAATCTAGAAACAGTTTGCCTCACATGGCTTATGGAATTCCACCCAAAAAAGAAAAGAAAGGAAAAAAGGACAAAAGGGAGAGAAAGAATCATGGCGCAAGATCTATTCGCTATATTCCAATTTTCCTGCTATGCATATACAACCTATTCCAGCGTGCTTTGGCGCTTCGTTCCCAACATCAGGCATTACTGACGTATGAATATCTACAAGGATGCCATCATGGCTTATCAAACTGTTTCTTTTGGCTTTTCATCACCCATAACTTTGGTCTCGTGGCCGTGATTGCTTGCCTCATCTTCCACATCGGTCGCCTCGCCACTCTCGTCGCTGGCCGAGCCTTTCTTTTTTGCGTCAATACTTTCTCTCCACCCTTTACCCCATCGAATAGTAGCCATGACGCCGAGTGTTGAGAGGACCATTAATGCTGTTGAAATGGTCTCAAACCACCCGACGCCGATTCCGTCGATGGCAGGCAGAACCACAGCAGTGCCCACGCAACCAGCTAGGTACCGAACGAAGTAATTTGCTGCCGTTACTTCTGCACCGCGTCCGGGCATCACATCCAAGCAGTACGTATTCAAAGAGGGGAAGGCAAAGAGCTGCCCAACGCCTTGCAAGAAGAGCATAATGACCGGCACAGGGATGCCACCTACAGCTTTGTCTACCGTCCACCCATAGACAAGTACACAGCTTGGCATGAGAATACCCATGAATGGTAGTGCAGACCGCAAACGATCCTCTGGGATGCGTATACCATTGCGCTTTTTGATCCACTGTTTTACCGTTCTGTCTGCCCATCTCCCTCCCATGAATGTGCCCAGCAAATAGCCGCTACCTGGTGCTAGGTAGAAAAGCCCTGATAGCATCGGCGATTCCAGGTGAAATCGCGGGTTTAGCACGTACCGAATTGGAGTGAGCAAGCTATACATGTTCCACACGAGTGCTGAACTGGCGAGTGCTACGAGCACCTGGTTCCAATATCGAAACAGCCGAATTACTCGAATCGGGTTCGTCATACGAAGTACGGCTTTGATCTTTTCTTTCCTGGGTTGGCCTTCTAAATCTTCGATTTGTTTGTGGTGGATTGTCTCAGGCACGAGAAAAAAGACACCCAAAACACCGGTGCCAGCCAATGCTGTCTGGAGCCAGAAGATAGACCTCCATGTTGCATAAGTCACCAAGATACCGCCAATGAACGGACCAAGTGCGGGCCCAATTAATGTTCCAGACATGAACCATCCGAGAGCAGTTGCTCGCTCTGTAGGGCGATATATATCTCTACTGTTTGTTAGCCACTGCCGACTGTATGCCAGCTAGTATTTCGCTTTAGCCCTATGCGTTCTTTAGGCCACTCACCTTACCCAAGTCTATCTGGTGTAAAGACCTTATGTTTCAATTGTCTCAATGCCAAGATAGCTATGGGCTGCACAAGGCAGTATGAGAGGCCTATATCAAAGCTGTTCGGGCAAGGCTATCTTTCTGCATGCGATACTTATCGGGTGCATACTCAACGGTCTAGAACTCTTCGCGAAAAGAATATGCTCGGGTGTTAGATCACTTACCCCAGGCAAGCTGCTCCCAATAAGATGAAGGCAGTTCCTTCAAAGGCTGAGAGCGCTCTGAAGACAAAAAAGGCTGCCAGATTCGGAGCAAGGGCAGTAGCCATGCTCAGCAAGAAGAACAATACAGCTGTTAATAGTGTCATCTATATCGCTTAGCGTGCATGCCGCTACAGGTCAAAATCTTCTCCTCTCAGGGTGATGCCCAGCCATGTACAGCGATGTACATAGCCAAGAATCATGTATGGAGGAAGGGATGGCTCAACTTACTGGTCGTCTGCCGAATACCTGGCTCATGGGCCCCCAAATGACAGGCGATATACCCATCAGAGCCATATATGCAGCATTGCTCACGTTGATGATAGAGCCAGTCGTGTGATATGTCTCTGCTACCTCAGGAACAGCAGCCAGGATGCTAGTGCTTGACAATGGCGAGAGGAAAGCGCAAAAGGACAGGACTGTCACGATAATATGCTTGCGACGTGATGACACGCGGTCATATATTTCATCTCCTGTCTCATGATACCCAACAGCAGATGAAGATGACGACTGCGGTGAAGATGGCTCAAATGCATCTGGTCCAGACACATGAGACGTAGGTCGATAGAATACTCCCACTGGTTTTGTCGGTTCATTCATTCCCTCGATATCATTTTTATCACGATACTGCTGAGATAACTTGGAAATCTCATTGGTCTCAGGGGCCCTCGGGGGTGATTTCTCTTCGGTGGAAACCATGATTGCGAGCTACGATATATTCGATCCACAACCTTGGCTTTACCGAATAGAATCACTCTTTGAAAGATGAAAGGCTTTTAGTATATGAGGAAGAAACCGATATGCAAAACGTCACAAGCTGCCATGGAGATGCAATGATTGTGGCTAAAACTGTTTGATTTCGCAGCTAAAGAATATGCCAGTGCTTTTTTAAAAGCAAAATAAGGAAAAAAAATTTCAACACAATGATACAAAACAAGCAACAAGTACAAAGGGGGAAGCAGAGACGCCGAGGAAATAGGCCCTAAATAGATTTTATTACGGTATCGCGCCCACCAGCAGCCGGAAAATTGGTCAAAGAGTATGTAACCGAATCAAGAAACCGCCATATAGCCTTCTCCACAAACCCGTCCGGTTGTCTTATCGGAGCAGCCTCTCCCGGGAAGCGGAGCCGCTCCCGGGCTTGCAGCCAGCCAAGCTCCTTGGTTGTGCTCGCCAGGGACAACCTTGCAGATCGAATCCGCCATCGGCCCGCCTTTAGGCTCTCAAAAGCTTTGATTCTTCCCGATTTTCTGCGCAAGTTGGATCTAAGACGCCTACACCTTTGACCGTGCCTCGGCACAGGAACTGCCGCCCTGCAGCTTTTAGGGCAGGATTGCTGCGAGAACCGGTTTCGTTCCGTGGTGTTGTGCCGAAGTGGGCCTTTTTTGAATCGTTTTAGCTGATAGAGAGTACGGCATGCTGTAGATTTTGCTCTTTTCGTGCAAAGTCCGTGCTATTGCCGGCCGTGGTTCGGGCACTTTTGGCCTGGGAGTTTATGCTTTGAGATTGCCAGCAGTCTTCGTAGCTAGCTAGTACTTTCGCTGCTCCGTCATAATGAATGGGCATAAAGGAGCCGATTTGCTATGAATAGAATTCGGCCCCATCGATGATAAGAGTCACTCTTAGAAGCCGATTTACTTCGATGTAGAGTAAGCAATTGTGATAGCAATATCGGCCAAGATCCGTCTCCAGCCCCTTTTTTATGCATAGCCGGGCAAAAGCTGCAGCTTTTTTTTTTTTCATCACGTCACTATTATCCGGGAGGGTTAATAGATGAAAGGATATTTTTCAGTGTTTGTTACTCCCCTGGAGCTTCTAACGTATATCTATTCTAAACTACTACTTGAAACTTGAAGCCATCCGTTATACAAGAAAGAAAAAAACCCCAAAACCCGTACGCCAATGCATGCATCATGTTCTACATTCGCTTTGTAGACCTTTTTTCTTTGTGGTGTAAATATGTGATACCAACGAAAACGCAGCGCCATGCAATGTTGAAAGCAACAAAGATACTCTTCGGATCCTCTTCGAACCCTCCTTTAATATAAGATATACAATGCTTTTCGGTATTTGAGCAGTGTGGTTATTAAATTTTGAGGCAAACAAGCGTCGAGGCAAATGTTCTCCATCACGCGAGTAGCTTCTGTACTCGCTCCTGAATCACACGATCAACAGGCTGGAGGCCTCTTTGGATCACAACATTCTCTCTCCCGCCAATGGTGACAACTTTGAGCCACTCCGGAGCGATTTCATTGGCAATTAATCGGATACAATTCATTCCTTCTTCTTTTGAAAGCGGTACTCGCAAAGAATCCTTAAGCTTGTCTGAGATGAGTGTCATGGTAAAAGCTTGCCTCGGCAGGGAAGCCGGGTTGGACAAGCTGAGCATGGAAATGGTAGCACAAACGTCGGTGACTCGGTTCAAAGCAGCTCGACGCTGAAGCTCCGGTTCGGATGGGGGGAGAGGTCCGTTGGCTTTAGCAAGCTGCTTATGTCGTAGACGATCCAACAGGCTCATCTTGGTACCGTCGGGATTTACCATGGCGGTGGTAGCCTGCTGCTTGACCTCTTTTTCTTGCTGCTTCGCAACTATTCCTTCCTTGAGCGCCGATAGAGCATTGTGTCCCTTATTCAGGATCGGGTTGATTTTGATACTGTTGTCCATGTTCCTAATTTCAGCGCGAGGCAGTTCTTTCAGAGATAAGCCGGCTGGAGGCACATCCACGTCGGTCACATTGTCCTGTGTTCGGCCAGCACAGAACGCTCGAAGGTTCTCCTCAAACTGCCTGCAAAGGCGCTCTTCGTTGATGGATACTGCGCCATTGTTGTGGTCAGGATGCAGCTCTATGCAAATCTTTCCACGGCCATAGTCGGATACAATAAAGGGAGAAACCACACTGGAGTCTCGTGTCGATGTCTGGACGGCAATGCATACTCGGATGTCGTCAACCGTGACCTGTCGCTTGCCCCAGGTACGGGAGATGTGTGGAGCCACAGACGAAATATCAATGGGCACAATGGTTCCGTTGTGTACAATCTGGAGAGCAATAGTCTTAAGGAAGGCCTTGTGCAGGCGGATCAGATCGACCAGCTCTGGGCTAAACTCGCTTTCAGCCTCCTTTGTCTTCTTGTGGCTAGTTACGCGATACGCCTCAAGCTTTGTCTGCACAGTCTTGCCGCCTTGCTTAGACTTTGCAATGATGGTCGACTCGCTGGGCTTATGCGCAGAAGCAGCTCGTGAGGGCGTTGACTTGGCAACCTTCTTTCCCTTGACCGGGGTCTTTGGCGCAGGCTTCGCAGCGGGCACTGCTACTGCCGAAATGGCCACTTTGGCGGTGGATTCTCCTCTCCGAGCACGCTTGGCTGGTGTTGCAGGCACTGGTTCTTCATCGCTGCTGGGAGTGAATGAGACGGTCCTTCTTGTGACACGAGGAGGGTGGTTGGCGTCGGCCTCATCGACTGCGGCCTTCCTCTTCCGTGAAGATGTCGGTTCCGGGTTGGCGATGACCGCCTTCTTGGAGGCTGCACCATGGAAAGCCTGGCTCTTGGATACGCGAGTGAAGCTGCTGATGGATTGTGTTGTTGAGGGAGCCTCGGCCTGGCGCCTTCTTGTGGTTCGGGCCATGATGTGTTCTCTTTCCTTCTTCTACTTTATGCGATGTGACTTTTCCTCCTGCTCCTTCCCTTCCTGCGGCGTGCCTAACCTGCAGTTCCAAACGACGCAAAGAAAAAAAAAAAAAAAAAAATCAATTGGCAAGAGCTATACGNAAAAAAAAAAAAAAAAAAAAAAAAAAAAAACAATAACTAGTAGGAGAGATGTGCCTGATGATTTGAGAACAAGGCGTCACTGCCAGTTGAAAAGGAAAAGTCGAAAAAGCGGGAAGCTGCGAAATGCTAAAAGGCTGGACGCTGGAAAAGAAAGGAAGGAGCCGAGTTGAATTGCCTTGACAACGGAATTACCGCTCCATAGTGCTGGGGTGGAAAGATTTCATGACGCGACCCGCAGACGCGCCCACACGACGCGGTTCATTTTCCTGGCCAAGCTGAGAAATGTGTGTTTCTGTGGGCGCGTTAAGTGGCGGCCCCTCCCCCACACGCGCACGCATGCTTCGACCTGACTTGGCTTGGCTGCACGGGCACTAACAAACAGAGCTGTACAGAGTAATGCTGTAAGCACCTCAATGGTGGTGGGTTTCAGTATCTGCATAGTAGGTACGATCTAGTGGGCAGTTAGCAGTAGCAGTGCTTCATTCTCGGTGCTCCCGCTTGGTACAAGAGGATGGCAGGATTCCTGTTAGTAGTATACTATAGGCATATCATACATATGCAGCTAAGTATATCGTCTGCCTGTACTTCCGCGCAGCACCCAACAACTGCCAATGGCTGTCCTATCTGTGCAAGTAGCTTCGTCGCTAAGGAGAGTGGCAGTGGCAAGCTTTTTGCTGATGCGTCTCGTGTAAGCCAATAACGATGGCAAAAAGTGTGGTTGATTGGGCGCATGCATACTATAGTTACATCCTTGCGACGAAGGATGGAAGCATAACGGCCAATAACTCCTATAATCTGACCGCTCTTATGAGTCAATCATAACCAGTTGTCTTGTATCACATCGAGGCTGAGCGTTACTAGTTCTCTTTTTGGCACGCATTGCGAAATTCGCATGCTGCAGTGTTTTTATTGCTGTGTAGTAGCGGGAACTTCATGTAGTACAGCATCAAAAGCTTAGTTATAGAAGGAGAACGACTCGACCGAAAAACAAACTGAGCAGAAAAAAGCTCGTAACCGTAAAACTATAGCCGCCATTCGCCTTGTGTCGTCTGCCAATTGCCTGTCTTGGGCCAATGGGCCCAGCAACAAGGCAAATACAGACAATCCACTGGTTTTGTGTTTTGTGCTCCCAAATTTCGCCCAAATCCCACTGTAATTAATCCTTAACCATTACCGTCCTTAGTTCACCAACTCCAAGCCAGAGAAAAAGAAAAAAAAAAAAAAAAGAAAGAAAAAAGAGGCAAAGGCCAGCCGTCTAAACCCTAGTGTACAAGAATGATCGAAGCGAAGAGTAAATAAATGATGGCGGGGTTAGCCTGATTACACCCTACAATCAACTATGCGTCGGGCCTTTTTGAATCTGATGAACAAGGCTGAGCATGGTGTAACAGGACTCGGCTCCTTTAGCGACAAGCTGGCGTGGGCCAGCGATCGACCCTGAAGCTAACAGGGCTCGGTGGCGGAGGAGCTGGAACGGTATAGTCATCCTCAAAGACGCGATGGGCGGCGCCTGGGGAATTGCTGTCGTCCTTGGTCACTGGTGCATGATCGAAAGGGATGATAGGACGTTGATGGCCTTTTAGTGGGCTGAGAGAAGAACTGAGCGAGGAGTAAATATCTTCGGATGTTGCCAGCCGAATATTGGCCCGCTGAGAGGGCTTAATGGGATAAGGCGCTGCAATTTGACCACTTGACATGTTGTTGGTGTTGTTGCTGGTATTGGGTAGTATGTTTAATTGGCCAAGTAGAGAGGCAGTCCAGCTGAGCTGACCGATGAAGCGAACTTGGAAATGTTAGAATAAGAGAGAGATAAAGAGCAGGCGAGAGCGGTGAATCATTACCAACGCTTTGATGGCAAGGCCTGATTAAGAGCAGCCAACAGATATAGATTCGGCAGGCTCGACTAGATGTTGGAAGCAGCGGAAGAATATCTGTTGATAGAGAGCACCAGCTGGCGATTCAAGAAGAGCTGGAGAGGAAGATGGAGAGAGAGAGAAAGGCAACAAGTATGGTCAAGCTAATACCCCAGAGGTGGTCGAAGGGCAATGATAATTGCTGTTAATGGAAAGGTGCTTAAGAAGCAGAAGCCAGCCCAGATGGGAGATTGAAGAAGAGAAAGGATTCTTGGTCTTGGTCTTTAACGGCCGGGAAGAGTAGACGGGAGGGAAGGTTGAATTATAAAAGCGAGAGGGATCGGGGCCCTGGAGCACCGCACACGAATAGCCAAGGAGAAAAGGAAACAGGGACGAAGTACTCGGAAGGGCGGCTTCAGGCGAGGAGGGCGTGTAAGAGGGAAAGAGCAGAGTTTGTGCTGCTGTTGCTGCTGCTTGGGGGAGAGAGGGGGTGTGATTGATGGAAGAACAGGTAGGTATTTGGTTGTCTAGACTACCTGCCCAAGGTAGATAAAAAGGTATATATGCCCTGTTACGCAGGCTCAGAGAGCAAATTTGGTACCTGACAAGCATGTTCATTTACCCAGGCACCTCCGCAGAGGGGTGTACAGGTAGCACGATTCAGTGCTGGATGGACCGCTACTACTTGTAATTTCACCATTTTGGGCGCGCCGGAGAGGCTCCGGGGAAACGCTTGGGGAATCCGGGGATGCTCGTGCCTCGTTTGTGGCAAGCTGCATAAGAGACTCGGTCAGAGGTAGACAAGCCTCGGCGAGCGACACATTGATGGGGAACATCAGGTCGGACGTGGCACCAAGGTACAGTAGGCACCGAGTATTTGTTTTAGCAGAGAGCATAGCTGGTGCTTGTCTGCGACGGATTACCGCTAGCACCAGGTGCAAACACGCCTTGTCCGCGGCAAGGGTTTTGTAGATGAGAATTTCTATTCCAAGGGCCTGCTGGGTACCCGATGGCGTGCAAGAGGCAGAGAAGGACAGAAAAGGGGGAGGGGTGGGCATAGGCAGGTCTGGGGAAGGCGGAAGTAGCTTCGGAGGACCCATGGATGTTTTACGAGCTGCTCTGCTGCTTGCCTTGGAATATTGAATATTGTAACTGCCACATAATTACCATAGTACTACTGATACCTTACTTAACACCTATACTTACTACCTGTAGTATTGCGTTACGAACGTCAACTGAGAGATGTTGGGAATCCGGCAATTTGTGCATTTCATGTATTTGTACACGTCGCCATTGCCGCTAATCAAAATGACACGAAGCCGCCTTGCAAAAGGGCTCAAAGCAAAGCGTTGGGCAAACCGCCATCAATGCCGTCTCATCCCTAGCCAGCAAACAAAACACGCTACCAGCCCCGACGTCCCGATTAATTGGGAGTTGGGGTAATATTGCGGGGACCAAACAAACTACAGGGGGCCGCCCCTTGGAGAGCTTCGAGTTGGCAAGGGGCCCAAGAGGCGCATAGCAAAGCTGAGCGTCGATAGCAGGCGGAAGCTTACCCGGACAAGCTCTCTCTCTAGTAGTAAGCAAAGTTTCCTCGGCAGAGTTACTAGTCTTGTAAGTTCGAGGTCCCAAGGCTTAGTCGTCATGATTGGTAAGGTTCTTTATCTGGACAGATGCGAATAAGACGGCTCCGTACGAGACTCATACTTTTGGACGCAGGTTAGGCGAACATTGGAACGAACGAAACCCACTGACCACCTCAATAGTAGGTGCCTAGGATGCTACAGCTACCTTGCGACTCAACGTTGCCCTGCCGCCGCCGCTGTTGGCACCAGCAATTAGCAGCTTAATTAGCAGCTCCAGACGGCGGTGTCTCAAGCCGTGATTGCAGGCGAGGTGAGGGACACAAGCGGATGCGCACAAGTATTGGCAGGCAAAGAAGGCGTCCATTCTCGTGCCCCAACAGCAGCAGCAGCAGCAGCAGCAGCAGCATCGAGATGGACAAGAATCCCCCCTTGGGAAGCAAATCGTGCCATTTTCTGATAGGGCATCTGTCCGTCTGTCCGAAGGCATCAATGCGTCTCTGTGATCCACCCAAAGCATCGCCGCCAGCATGTTTCCCTCGCCTGGCCAAGGGACAAGAAAAAGTTACTTTACGACGCTCGTACGAGTGCTTGCTACCTTAATGCCACCACGCAGATGCTGCCCGGCGGGAAAAGCATGGGCCTGACGTGGCAAACAGGCTTACGAAGAGGCATGGTCCGGCTTTTGCGTCTATGTGCATACCAGAAACGACAGGGTGCGGTACATGATACAAATCTGGAGTGCAGGACACGATACCTCGCATTTCCTATCCATGCAGCCATGTGTGAGAGCATGCACGCAATACTGCTAGAGGCGCGTATTACTCCGCTGGAAAACAAGAAAGAAACCAAAAGGGCTGCCAGAGCCTTACGTTGCATCGGACGACCACAATAAGGTGGCTCCACCATTTGACAAGATGCCCCTAGCTTGCAATTTATGGAGAGAGATTTTGGATATGACGACGGGGCTCGCTTCCTACGGCATCCCCGATGCTGACCTTGTCTCTCTCTGTCATTTCGTTTCATTCTTTCTTTTTCGAGAGCTCGCATGGAAGCTTCATGTCTGGCAAAAATGACAAGGAATAGCGGGAATCCCATATATTTGCAACAGCGCTCAGGAGGCCTTGCCGGCGGCTTCTGCGATTCCACAGTGATCGATCCTGGCCAGTTCCACCGTGGGCTAGTAGCAGCTCTAATGGTAGGTACTTGCCTCCTTTCTGGAAGATTACCTATTATATAGACGAAAATACATGGCTAGGGTGCCGCTAAACTCGCGAATCGATTCATCAAGCAGCTAATATTGTCTAGGTGCAAGATATTTTCAACCTACATGAACCCCCCTAGCAGCATCGGCTGAACGATGCGGCTCTGCGAAATAGAAGGTAAAAATTTATTCAGGCAGGTTATGGCAGGTGTGCTTTTACTTTTTTTTTGTGTCCAATTCCCCCTTACACCCACTCCTCTTCCTCCTTTTCTTCTTCTTTGCGTGTCACGACATATCTTCAGCTTTTAATGTAATTTGTATGTAACGCAGGCCTACTCTCCCACAGCTTATTCTTTCCGACGGAAGGGAGGAGGGGTGAGCCAACAGAGGCCACTGCACGGTTAACTACCGGTGTTGTTGGGAAAAGAAACATACGGTCTTCTCTCTCACTATGTACATGATGGCTTGGTGGTACCTGAGATTCCTTGCGGATTGCGCATTTGGCATCTCCAAATGAGACAGTTGCCGGTTCTGGTGTTCTCATCAATCCAGAGAGCTTGTCAGCAAGTAAGCAAGCTGAGCCGGATTACTTGTGAGGTTCTGCACTGCGTCGTACTCGGGTACCCAAACCCTCCGACGACTTTGTTTCTGGATGGGCTGATGCTGAGGGGGCAAAAGAACGCCGTGTATTATGGTACTTTGTAAGGCCGATAACGAAGTAAGATTGGTGTAACGCATCGATGGCTTGCCTCGTATGGAGTTGATCTGGAGGAGCGTTGTGTCATGTCTACACACCGCTGCCAAGCAGTTGTACGAAACTAAGGAGCAGGACACAGCTTATCATCTGCTATTGGATGGTTGTCTCCCTGCTACGTGCTGGACAAGATGAGCCGCAAGAGTTTTTACTGGACTAGAGAAACGAGTTCTCAGCCAACGTTACGAGCAGATGGCGTAGAGAACAACCCCTTACATGCGCCCTGCCCTTATAGGTCCACGGTAGGCAGGCATCTGTCTAGGTTGGTACAGGAGCTGCAAATACCTATTTACATACATGTACCCCATGTCTTGTCAAGCTTCCCTGCAGCGAGCTGCCATCAAAGACACGGTTGGTCCAGCTTCGTAAGCAGGAATGCATTCGCATAGTTTCTCCTTCTCAGCTGCCGTGGCATCGAAAACTACTGCCTCTCATCTGGGATTCCTCTCTCACATCCATGTTGCTCCCTGCTTCGGCTCTGGGACTAACATCACCCTCCAAGGGCATGTTTCATTCCATGCTATGTCACTCCGTGCAGACCCGGTGTCGATCTCGATGTATCAAGTGCAAGGGCATCTGTTTTTGCACATAAGTATCCAAGACATCAAATCGAAAACAAGAAATCGAGGTTAGAAATCGAGGTTGGAGATCGAGATGTGGAGATTTGCAAACGCAAGGGTAGCATCAACTAACAGCTAGGAGATACATCATGCATATGCATAATCACATTTGCGATTCTTCTTCTTCTACTGGACAACGTAAATTTTGTATACGAGCATTTCTTGCACTAGATCGTATCTCTAATCAAAGCTGCATTTACTCAAGTGTCTCACGCTTCAATTGCTCCGCTCGAGACACCATAAGGAAGTCCACATTAAGTTAATCAAACGTCTCATATAACATCATATCATACCCTTCATCGCAGCTTTTGCTCCGAGGGTCATCAAAAAAGAAAAATTCTGTTGGGCGCCACATACGTCTTTCCATTCTCTTTTTTTTTTTTTTTTTTTTTTTTTTTTCAGAGACACACAGACCTAGATATCTTCTCCCGCCAACAAAGTGTTAATGCTTCAGGGTTTAGGCGCATTTGCCGATCCTGCCGCTGCTGCAGCAGCTGTCGACGTTGTTTGAGCTGTCTTGGACTTCCTCCTCGCAGGCTGGTATACGTCATTGAAGTTCATGGCGACACCCAAGAACCTCATATCGACATCTGGTTGGTATGCCAAGTCTCCCAATAAAATCTGTAACCTAGTGCGGAATGAAGTCCCGAGCTGTCGTAGACGTTCCTGCAAGGCGGGAAATTCAGATGGTACGTTGTCAGAGGCTGTGAGACCTCCATCATCGTCACGGCGTGTTATGTTCCTCAATTCGGCTTCTTGTCGTCGAGTATACTCTGCGCTAGTCCACGAATACAGACCAACAATGGTGTCGCGGTAATGCAGCATGAAGCGAAGAATCTCGCTGAGTTGGTCGAGATATGTAGTCCTTTCCTTGTTATCGGAAGGGTGATGTCGGAGTTTCGGCCCAAGAAGGCCTTTATGGGTAATGTCTTCGAGGTATCGTCTATGCGCTTCGATAACGTCGTCTAGTGTGCAATCTTCCTTCCGAATCCGCTTCTGCAGCTCGCCCCATGAAGATTCAATGACCTCGAAAAGGATATAGTATTGCAGCTGGCCCACAAAGTGAATCATTTCGGCGAGCACGCCTCTTGTTGACTTCCACGTCTGAACTACCGCAGGAATAGGGCTCTGCAACACTCTTCTGGAACCCGTCATGCACTCTCTCCATGTTGACAAAAGCACAAATTCCACCCGCTTGATTCGCCAGAGGAAATTAAAGACTTTGAGATACTGCCGGTTACCCCACTCGGTAACAACAACATCCACGGGAGCATCGATCTTGTATTCCAGAGTGAAGCAATCCCAACCAATGTCGCCATGCGATAGCTGAAGCATTCGGGCATCCAATCGCCGTAGCACCTCTGGGGAGTCGTACTGAGCGTTTGAGCCGCGAATTGCATGCTCTAGCTGAGCCGTGAGTGTATGTCGGTATTGAGAACCTGAAGGGCGGTCCAAATTCGCCGCGAGAGATTCCATGAGTAGTGCGATAAAGTCGCCCTGCCCCAAAAGGATATAGTCCTTTAAAGCCTGAAGATGGACAAAGAGGCGGAACTTGGTTTCCATAAGGTCCATTAAGCGCTTCATTGTTGTCTTGTACGCCTCATCAATCCATACTTCAACTGTTGCGGTATCGCCGTATCTCAGTTCTTTCGAAGCAGCTTTGGAATAATCTTCCACCCACAATGAATCTCCGCAGCTGTGTCGAATAAAGTTCAACGATTTGCCAATGAGAAATATCTTTTGGGCAAATTCTTGTGAGATGATGCTTGGAACCATGTCCTGGGCAATCTCGTATTTATCTTCCCAGACATTGCCCTTGATCCGTAACGTATCCTCATTGTCGGTTTGTTCTCTGACGAAGAATTCGAGGGATGGGTCCGACAGCTCTCCGTCATATATCCAGTGTCGAAGAATACCGTACCAGGGCCGGGTGAAGCTACCCAACAGCCGTTCTGCGAACGCGGCAACAACGGGATCTCCATTGGAAGAAGCAAAGTTATGTATCAGAGTAATGATCTGACCGCCTTTTTTGTTTTCTGACTCTTCAGCAATCAGGGACAAGAGCCTCAGGCCCATAGTTGCCTCTCGTGTCCACACCACACATCTCTTTAACGTGACACCAGTATTCCCAATCCCCCCCCTGGGCGCATTTTCATCCAAAAGAGATAAAGCCTTCCGAATCTGGCCCTCCAAAGTCGCAACCAACGTTAAATATGATCGTAATTCGTTGCTAATTGCCGATCGCAAGCTCTGGGCCAAAAGACCATTGGCAGGGGTTTGGCAGAAAGCATCCAGACGTCGGTAAAGCAGCGAGGGTTCGGCAAGGGTGTGTAAAATAGATACTAGCGGTAGAGGAAGTGAGGAGGGGAGCTTCAAGATATCTTCTCTCGTAAAAGGGAGAGTCGTGGAGGATACACCTTGGAGCGTGAATGGAAGGTCTCGAAGGATGGCCGTTTCTGAAGGTTCGATTTCTGCATAGTTGCTCGATAGCAGAGCTGACTTTACCGACACATCCCTTCTTACCAGCTCACTCTGCTGCTGCCTTTCTTCTGCGATGCGCCTCTGTTCTTTTGATGGTGGTATTTTGTGAGGTAGCTCTTCGTGTATGGGAGACTCTCCCATCGGGTCGTCTTCTATTCTTGTAAGAGGGATAGATTTTGAGCGTGCCCTAGCACGCTTCTTAACTGCATCTCGGGCAACAGCCTCACGATAGTTCGAGGAGGAGGGCTGGATTATGCTGAGCGGAGGAGGGGGCGCTTTTGGATCCGGAGAGTCGGCTAGGGCGTATAGGAGGTATAAGATTGCCCATTTTGACTTGAGAACGGGGACTGCCAGCAGCCTAGAGTAGAGATCTGAAAATCTGAGTGCATGGGAAGGATTGCTCTGAATGAGCTTTCGTTTGATTGAGTCGGCGGCCCGATCGACATCCGATAAGATGTCAGGATCGGGCGGGCTATAAGGAGCCGTCGTCAGCAAGGCCACGCCTCGATTATATACTCACCGTCAGGTGCGCAGACGCCATATTTACCTGTTTATGATAGCCCTGACAAGCTCATGGCTCAAGTTGTACCGGGCTTGCCAGGAATCCTGGCCTTCGTTTGGGCCTCTGGAGGGGACGATTTGGGTTATCAGGTTGTCAAGGGCATTGGCGACGCGATCTGGTGCCATGGCTGCATTGTTGTGACCAGCAATAGTTTGGTTGAAGTAGCTAGAGATAGAGGGGAGGGGGGGAGGGGGGGAACAATAATTACAGAGAGAGCTGCTTTTAGCGACAAAGAAATACCTGTAACTGTTTCCTTATGCGAAGTCTCAGGCCGCAACAAAGCTGCCGAAGACGCGCAGAGGACGCGATGGCTTTCGAGTGGGATGTAACAGTAGATTTTCCGGCGGGGAGGTAGCGGCAACACTCAGCTCCGGTGTGCTTCGGCGCAGTCAAGGGGTACCTGATACTTCTTCAGCCGCCCTACAGTAGCGCATCCCTCTGAATCCGTCACTCTGTCGGCAAAAGTTGACTTCACCTAACCATTGACCCTTTCCCACTACGCCATCGGAACGAGGACAGAACAATTTGCCATCAAATTTGCGGCCTCACAATGCGGTTTTCATCAAGATAGCTCCACAGCAGCGATCGCATAGTATCCCTGATTCCATTTATCGACTCATGATTGTTCTCTCGCGTCGCGCGCCGCTCCATCGCTGCACGCGACAACTGTAGTTGACTTTCCGCGATCCACGATGCCCGATATCGACCCCGCGGCCTTGAGCCGCCCGTCTGTCAGCGTTTCGACGCCTATTTTATCGACAAAGACGCTCACAGTCTCGGCACCCGGCTCCACGAAGGCTGTCAAGACTAGTCAGATAATACCGTCTCGAATTGACCTTGAACCGCTGTACACAGCCCTGAAAGCCGCCATCAGCTCGGAGCAATGGCTCATATATAAAGAATCCACAACTGAGTTTCTGACTGGTACGGATTAGATTTTTCCATGCTTTTTTTCTTCTGTATTTTTTGCTCCCCACGAACGTATTGTAATCTCGACAGTATTCGTGCTTTACTATAATAATAAATCCAACTATATGCTCATCATTTAACCAAACAGGGCGACTCAACCAGTCTGAATACTCCAGCCGAATCGATCCAATATTATCATCACCAACAGGAGAGAAAGAACACCTACACAACCAACTTATTGCGGCAATATATGGCAATGTCACTCGGGAGATGCCTGATATTGGCCTTGCGCCATGGGTTAGTGCCAATGACAAACCCACGACGACTACGGGCAGTAAACCTGTGTCGGGTGACGCAGCGGAGCGGAGGTTAAAGGGAGAGGTGATGCAACTACCCGCACGGGATCGACGGCGCATTAAGGAGCTTACACAAAACGAGGTTCGTTGCTATCCAAATATTCTTTTCAGATGCTTTTCCAGAGTATTAACCAATTGTTCTTTTACTATAGTATGACCCCCTCGAGAGCTTGGCAAATATGTTTACGGAGGCGCACCGGAAACCGCCTGTTGCCACTGATGTTCCACCAAGTGCAGCCGGTGGCATCAATAACATGAGTTAGTGGCCTGCCTCAATCTTTCTTTTCCTTTGTAACTTTTATGTTCAGTCTAACCCTTGTTCTAGACTTTGACCTAGAGATTCGAAAACGATATACACAACCGCTTGCCATCGAGTCCGGCGAGTTCCCTGATATGACCCTGATAGCTGGAAGAATGTTGCCTTTTTGTTACGAGGCAGGCCTTGTCAATGGGCATGTTTCAGATGCGCCGAATCTCATGTCTGTTGCTACAGATACATTCATCAAGGAAGTCTTGACGCAGATCTTCAGCCGTACTCAAAGTAATGGCCCGGGCGAGTCGGGCAGCGCAGGCTATGGAATAGGTACCACATGGGTTCAAACCCATAAATACAGGCGGCAACTTCACCGCGAGGAAGACGCGGCGCAGAGGGGAGAGATAAGCCGAGATAAGTCGGGGTTGTTGCCCATCGAATCCAAAGCAGCCAGCGAAAGAGGCCCACTAGGCATAGCAGATGTGCGAATCGCCTTGGAGATGGCAGACTCAGGAATATCCCAGTTCCCTATTATTTCAGCACAGATCTTGTACGGATACCGGGAAGGCGAGCTCGAAAACTGGAAAGACTATACCTGGGCTGATGGCGAAGCCCCCACAGCGCAAGTCGAGGAGATCATGGCGAATGGCAACGCGGAGCTCACCAATGGCACTCTCCCAGACGCAATGGACATCGACAATGAGGTTTGGTGGGAGGGGGCCGAAAAAATAGACATGGATATGATAGACAGTGCCTTGGATTCCTGTCTCGCTGTCGGATCATGAGGGATATCACAGCTTTCCCGCTCACTAGCTGCCGTTCTGGAACAAAAAAAGGACAAACAACATTGACGGCTATGCCGAATAGAATATTCTACCCAAAGCGCTATAGAGGGAAGGGGTTTCAGGGTAAGCTGCTCTGGATAGATTAAGTGGCTGACAGGGTACCTATCATTATGGGAAAGCCAGGATTTTGACAGGACACCCACACCGATAGAGTGGATGGATCGCTGTTGTGTCGGCAAGGGTTCAGCCTTGAGCGCTTAGCATCAATCGGCTGCTGCGATACACGGAAGGCTTTGACCAACCCTGGATATCTTTGCCTTTTTCTATTTCTTTTCTTTTCTTCTTTTCTTTTTCCTTTCTCAGTTATGGTGTTGTGCAATAATGTGTTTGATACGGAAGGGATATCAAACGGCGTTGCCGGGCCGCGATTATATTCATTACAGCGTTGTGAATTCTTTGATTTCATTTGTTTGAAGGGGCAGGGAGGTCTATATGGTTTCACTTGTTGGCTTCTACGAATTGTATTTGTATGGGACGATACCCTAGTTGAAGGGGCAAAAGCAAACCACCATGAGGCAGACGAGGTCGAACGGTATGTACATACAAGGTGGATGGATGCACTGCAAAGAGCAGGTGGGCTTAACTTTACGTATATTCCAGCAGCACGTCTTGTTGGCTGCCGGAGCAAGCGTCTTACCTGAGATGTTATTGATGAGTACCAAAATAGCAAATAGTACTAATGCCAAAAGAAAAATTAAAAAAAAGAAGCGATGAGCCAAAAAGGCATCTAAGACTCCAAAGTGCACACGCACGCCGTAAGCACCGGCATGGAGCGCTGATAACTGAGTCGATTCCGGCCTCGCCTGGGACAACACTCTACCTCTGAGATACGATTGGACTACCAGACAAAGACATTCTGCAGCACTAGAAAATACTCAGATTTGCAAAATCAATTACTCCCGACTCTGGTCTGTAGCCACTAGAAACAAACTTACCACTGTCGCCACCGAATAGCGACGACGTCACAAAACGGCCCGGCAGATGGCGGTACTTCAATACCCAGCGCATGCATGCAGGGTCGCGGCGCCCAGCTGAATCCGGAAACAGCCAAATGAGGCGGGATGGCGGACAGGGGAAGCAAATCATGGGAATCAACAGCTCTCAAGGATACCACCCAACAGTTTACGGCAGCAGCAAGGCCCTTTGTAAGAGTCATGGCATGACTGATTGATTGTTTGGTTTCCTCTTTAATATCCCAATGGTCATCTCCGAAAGGAACAACCACCACAGCTGGTCCTCTAGTGCGCCACTTACAAGGCATCTGTCTTAGCCCATGCTGCACGGTACGGCGTACTCCGTGCTAATGGCGTGAATACGGTACGAAACTCGGGGCTTTCCTCTCCTGTATTGGGTAGGTACTCTGTAGCGAGAATCAGGGCCTGTCCACATGTGCTCTACTGCAAGAGGGAGCAACTTGAGGATGCTGATGCACGCTGGAATTCTGTGTATAGCAAAAGATTAAGTGCTTATCTTGGTAAGACGCGCGCACGCTGGGGACGCTGAGGGATTATCGCTGCTAGGTATAGTAGTCAGTTCTAGCGACCTCAGTCTTGTTGCTCTAGTCTTTTTCTGACCAAAAGACAGGAGCCCGGTCCTTTCTGGCACCCAGACGTTCTGCATCCCAGACAACCTGCCCACCAAACGGGCCCAGGCGCGTATAAGGATCCGAAATTAGAAGAAGCAATAGCACGACTGCCACGAGATGAGAGCCCATGCAAGTACGGGGTACCACTGTGTTGCTACTAGTCATGTTACCGTCTGGACAAGGGTGCTTGAGTAAGTTGGTAAGACACCTTTTGAGATTGGGTTCTGGAATGGGCGTGGAATGGGAAAAGAAAAGTCACCTCATGGTCAGCGATGGTGTGTGAATGGGGGAAATTTAGGAATTTGGGAATTTCTGGTGGTTGTGTTTGATTCATGCACGGCGGTGGTGGTACACGGCAGAAAAAGGGGCAGATATGAATGAGTTCATGTCCCTTTGTTCGATGGAGTCGGTGCTAGCGGTCTGCTGCTGTGCTCAGCAATCACATGTACAGCATCTGTACCTGCAGCAGTACCAACAGAGCACCTGCTCAGCATGCCGACCGCTACAGGTGGCGAACGACCGCTAAAACACCCTTCTGCAGAAGGGCAGCAACGCAGCTGCACAGAAGCCAAAGAAGCCCTGACGGAACAGCCACGACGCGGCGTGGAAGAGGTGGAGATGAGGGGTTGGGGCCGTCAGGTGGCCCGTGCGACGCTTCTAGAAAGCTTCCGCAGGGCCCTTGCCTCGCTGGCTCTGGCGGCCACGCCAACCACAGGCTGCCCTCCCTTCTGGCTGCCTTCCAGCCCCACCCATTGCATTCGCTAGGTGGTTAATTTGCCTTTTCTGCTCATTTCGACTCTACAGAAGCTTTCCCGCCCGCTAGGACGCTGGTGCTATTGCTGCTACCGCTGCTAGCTTGCCGTTGGACTGAGGAGCGTCTGGTCGGTGGCCATTGCGTTTGTGCTTTCCAAGGTTCTTTTGCCAGCCCTCCCGCCGTCGCCGCCACAGCTGCCGCGGTTGCTGCTTGTTTGCTGCTGCTGTCTCTACGCGCTGCCTCTGCCACTGCGGCTTACCTTGGTAGCACTGACCTCAGCGCCTGCCTGCCTTGCCAAAGGTGTCCCAGCACCACCCAGAAGCGCCGCCCGATTTTCTTGCCTTAGGACCAAAGCTCCAGAGCTGTGAATCAAACGCAAAGCCTCTTCCCATCCTGTGCCCTTTCATCACCACTCCCGCATCCTCAATCCATCACGTCAACCCGCCAAACAGCATCGCCAACCACCGCGAGCAGCATTGATCCGGGCCCGGCCCACAGACCTCTTTTTTGACTCGCCATCTATCTATCCTTCTTTCTTCCCCACGCCGTCTTCCGCCGCCCTTCTAGGCTCGGCCCCTCTTCTCCTTTCGTTTACCCAGCATCCCGTCCTTGTCGATCCAAGGCAAACGCTTAGGTCTCGTCGCACGACCCCTCCTCTCTCAGTCCGGTCCCCTCGTCTCCTTCACTGCTCTTCTCTTCATCTCCTCACCTAATCTCGTCCTGCGCTGCCGCAGCCTTGTCCCTACTCGCTTGACCTGTGAACCGCTTGCGCCCCGCGTGCGCCGCTCATTGCGACCGAAGAGACAGACGTCCTCGCTGCTCTTGCTGCTGGTAAGTTTCAACGGGTTTCATCTTGTTTGTCCTTCTGTGCACCCTCTCCTTTTCAGCCCACGGCATCTTTGTTTCGATGACCGCTGCTTGGGACGGGGGTTCGTCCTCGGCTGGCGTAGCGTGCTGGTGACGTTTCGTTTGGCCGCCACCTTTCTGTGCTTCGAGAATAGCTTCCCACAGAACAGAAACGCTGCCGCTGTCACTTTTTGTCTCCGTCTGTGTCTCGTTTGCCGCTGGCCTGGCTGCACACCCCCGTCTCACCGGTCTGGCCTTCTTGCCTTTTGCCTTATTTCTCTCATGCCTGCCCAACCTCTGGTCATGCCGCCCGATCGGGTGCTAGCAGAGCCCTTGTCCTTGCTCGCCCTCTAGTCGTTCGCATCTCGGCCTCCCCGGTTCGACGCCGTCAGGCCTGGGGGGCGTGCAAACGGCCACGACCTGAGGAGGCCCTGGTCGATTGGCCCCTCTGTTTGAATTTCCCGTCCTCTTTTCTGCGATGGCGGGCCACCCGGTTCAGAACCCCGGCCGCCTGGTAGCGTGCTGCTAATTATCGTCGCGCAGCTTTCGCGGATACAAAACGGCTCTACATCCCAGACCCGCTCCCGCGCAAGCTGTAGGTCCAACTCACTCCGGTCTTTACCTTCTTCAATACGCTCTTTCTTCGAGTTGCTTCTTTTCTGCGAGTTTTGCGTCATATCTGTTTAATACTAGTTATCACACAAACCCTTTGCAGACATGTCTCTCCCAGAAGCTTACCAACTTGAGATTCAAGCTCTCAACAAGCAGGTTCTGCAAACCTGTCCTTCCGATATCTTGCAGTTCTGCGCCGACTTCTTCAACTCGCGACTAGCTACCGAACGAGCAGCGAGCATTTCCCTCTTCCGCGACCGAGGCACCCCGTCGCCGAGATTCCCTCCATCGCCCACTAGCCATCACTTTGGAATGATGTCTAGTCAATTCTCGAGCCCTTTTGGGGCCAACGCCAACCCCTTTGGCGGCAGCTCATCAAACGCCAACCCTTTTGGCGGCAGCGCATCACCGATGTCGTCCAGCGTGATGCATCGCGTTGTTGAGGAGGACGAAAACGATCACCTGGCTCCTGGTGCGTCCATGTTTTCAGGAGCTTTTGGGGGCGACGCATCTACCGAGGCTCCACCTACCTTGAGAGCCCCCCCTACCGCCGATAGCTACCCGGCCCAATATAACTTTTCACGTCGGACATCCGTTTCAGCGGAGTCCCTGAAGCCAAGCGCCGATAGCTACGATAACTGGACCCCTCCGTTCACCGAGAAGACTCCCGAACAGGTTGAGAGACTCAAATGTGCCATCGAAGGAAACTTCCTCTTTAGCCACTTGGACGATGAGCAGAGTGCACAGATTCTGGGAGCTCTTGTAGAGAAGCCTATCCCTGCCAGAGGCATCAAGGTAAGAAAAGAAAGAGAAGAGCCTCCAAAAATAAATCACGGCCTAGTGAATTATGTGATTTATCTTCGATAACTAACAGTGTAACAATATAGGTAATCAGCCAAGGAGATGCTGGCGACTACTTCTACGTTGTTGAGCGGGGCTCATTTGATGTGTATGTCAACGACTGTGGTTTTATTGAGCCCGGCCCTGATGGACTGGGCAACAAAGTCGGCACCATCCAAGCTGGCGGCTCATTCGGCGAACTTGCTCTCATGTACAACGCACCCCGCGCGGCTACCATCATCTCAGCTGAAGGAAGCTGCACGCTGTGGGCCTTGGACCGAGTGACATTCCGCCGTATCCTCATGGAGTCGACATTCGCTCGCAGACGGATGTACGAAAACTTCTTGGAAGAAGTGCCCATCCTTTCGTCGCTCACTCCCTATGAGCGATCCAAAATCTCAGATGCCCTCGAGACGCAAAAGTTTGCACCAGGAGACGTCATCATTCACGAAGGCGACCCTGGCCACTCCTTCTACCTACTTGAGAGCGGAGAAGCAGCCGCATACAAGGGAGAGGAAAAGGTACTGAGTTACAAGAAGGGCGATTTCTTCGGTGAGCTGGCGCTGCTCAACGATGCTCCTCGAGCCGCTAGTGTCATCGCTACGTCGGACGTCAAGGTAGCAACGCTAGGAAAGAACGCATTCCAACGACTCCTGGGCCCTGTCGAAGGCCTCCTGCGAAGGACAAGGTATCAGGGCGTCAAGACTGGCGTTGAAGAGATGGATCCCCTACACACCGAGTAACTGCTCAGGAATGGGCGAGCAGTATCTTGATATGTACGGGTGTATCGATTTAGGGGGTATGATGTGTGCAACGGGCATAAGTTTCAGTGGTGGTGATGACGCTAGCGGTTTAAGACGCAGGATATTATTCTGGACATGAAAACAAAAAAGGTATTGAGCATAGATACGCTCCACAGATCGGTTCTACGGGAGTGACAGGAGCGGATTGAGGCATTGGCAAAACGGTTGCATTTTGTTTTGTTTTTTCTTACATGGCCGATTGCGAAATCGTGCAAACGACTACTCGCTTCATCGGAGGCCCATTGTAATGGGCACGGCTTACCGGCGTTTTCGGGATACTTTTGCTTTTATTTCCTTTATTGTCCTACATCTCCACCCTCACTTTTTTTCCATCCCTTTGAGAGGAATATGTCTATTTGAACAGATGCCTTGTTTGATACCGTTATCAATGCGACTATTATCTCCTGAGGGCTGACTGGGGGTGAATCACTCATTCTAATACTGCTGTAATTCCCTTTTCCTCTCTCCCACTTTCATTATTTGTTACAGGAAACGAATATAGTGTAATTCATATGAAGATGTCAATGTATTTTATTTTTATGCTTATAACTACCTTTCAAAGTGATTTAAACGCCAGTATTGCTCCCGTGTGTATTGTAGTCCCATAGATGCTCTGTGATTATGTATTGATCTTTCCCCGTAACTTGAAGAGGTGGAAAGAATTGCAATGGTTGGAAAAATAGAAAAGAGAAAAAGAATAAAAGAAATGGAACAAAATAATGTGGGATGTCTGCCTCCCATTATTGTGTAGGATTTCCAGCAGCATTTGCCCTGTTCCTCAGCTCTTGTCGAATCTGGTCCTTGAGCTCCTGGACGGCGATTTCGGTCTCGAGCGCCCTGCCCACGCCGGCGCGCCAGTTTTGCTCGAGGCCTTGCATCTCGGCCTTTACGTCGTTTTGACGAGCCGCGCGCGCGGCGTTGACGAGTTCAATGTCGCGTTTGGTGTCGGCGAGGTCGCGCTCGATGCTACGGAGCTGATCCTCGAGGTGGTAGTTTGAAAGGAGCCAGGCGTTGCGGCCGTGGGCGTCGAGGAGCTTGAGGTTCTGGGCGCGGGAGGAGAGGTAGGAGGAGGAGACGAAGGCGTTTGAGAGGGGAGCCCTCAGCGCGTCGACATCGGAAGAGGACTTTGAAGAGGACGAGGGAGGGGGGATCTCTTGGGCTTCGTAGCGGGAGAGGTCGAGGGTCTGGGAGGGGCGCTTGGAGGCGAGGCGGTCGAGTTCGGCGGCGATGGCGGGTGAGAAGGAGGGCTCTTTGGGAGGTTCTGTGGGTAGGGGAGGGGAGGAAAAGGTTTGTTGTTCGGCGGAGATGAGGGCGTGGGCGGCGGAGAGGGCTTGGGGGGTGGGCTCAGTGTCGATGTCTGTGAATAGAAAACAAGAGGTTAGCTTTTGCTTTGTGAGTTGGAAGTTTTTTTTGGGGGATTTGGGGGGGGGGAAGCGTACATGGGAGGGATTCGTGGTACGCTGGGAGGGCCATTGTTGTTGCTTATTTATTTATTTATTTATTTATTTTCTTTGTTTTTAGAGGTGTTTCGTATAGACTTTGAATTGTCGTGGTTTTTTTAGGAGGTATGCTGCGTAGTTTCGGGGCTTAAGTAGTCGTGTTTGTGGCACAATGGCGTCGTGGATAATCGCAAGGCTGAGGAATTTCGCGATAGTAGCTCTCTCTCTTTTTTTTTTTTTTTTTGGAGATTTGTTCGCAAAAAGGGTTCGCGCAACGACAGAAAAAGATTTATAATTTTCTCAAAAGTAGATTTTCAGTAGAAGGTTTCTTTTGTCGTCGTTTAGTTGTTTTCAGCTATTAACTGTTTAAATCAAAACAGCTTCGTCATTCAATTTCGCAAAGGGGGGGGATGATGATATAGAAGAAAATAGCAAGGCTTGGAGATTTCGCGACCAGCTTCGGCGCCAACAGGCACGTGTTTTCCACAGCGCAAGGCTGAGAAGCTTCTTGGAGTGCTTATCTAATTTGCTGCAAGTTCCCTGTTCAGCGCACGGACCATGTGTATGTACTGCGCTGTCGGTTCGGTGGGTTCCGGGGCCTGCGGAGTAGAAAGGGAGACAGGGAGGGAGCCCTGTTTGTTGATTGTTAGTGGGTTAGTAGTTGAGGTAGAAAGGGAGGGAAGATGAAGTGCCGGGCACTTTGTTTAAAAAGTAATACGATAGAAGAGTTCGAAGAAGAAGAAGTAGTCAACAAAATATACAAATTGAATTACGTGTGTGAAGCCGAACGCGATGAAACTCGTAAAGACAAGGAACTGGGAAAAAAAAAGAGCAGCCTAGAACCTGTCTGCAAAGCCATGACATCGGTTGCATTGGCCCCCCCCAAATTACTCCAACTTCGCCCAGCTTCCTTATCCACCCAATTAGCCCTCGCTGTCCCCCATTGATGTACATGCATATTACTCCGTATCGAGCACAAGTGTTGCAGCCATCAGAGTGCTGTCATTTCAGGTGTGCGAGCGGTCTGTTGAGCAAATCTACTGTACTACGTAAAGGGTGCGGAGCGCTGTAGGCGCGCTGCCACTTGGTGCTATGTACTACTACTAGTATGATTGCGACTGCCGATACCTCCCCCATTCATCTATCGATCTGCAGCTTCTCTCCTGGGGCTATTTTGGAAGTGGGATTTAGCCCGAGCGGGGTACGCTGTCGCATCGGCGGCCACCGACACGGTGAGTTTCTGAGGGGGGGGATGCTGTCTTGGCGGTCGAGACCTGTCTCATTCTGATGATGGCCCGGGGAGGAGAAAGGAGAGGATTCTCTCGTAGCGTATTGACCTGAAACCGTTGGCGCCGGAAGGCTTGGAATAACATGCCACTACTCCTGGCTCGCTGCAATGTTCCCAAATCATGCACAGTAGGAGTCGTCACAAAAGACAGGAGAGGATTCATATTAAAATGTTACACGGGCTTAAATTGGTTCTATATCAGAGCCGGAGCCTTCATATGGTTTTGTGATGAAAAAAGAAGGAAAAACTAGATATTATACAGTAATACACTTCGTCCCGCCGCTTAAAGAGCAAATGTGGCGGCGGGGATGCATCATGAGTTATGGCCTCAGATGAGCGTTGCCATGTCCGGTTTCCATGGAAATCAAATCCTACTGCTCCGTTCCTTTGAATAAAAGGGAAAAGAAAAATAAAAGAAAAAAGGTCCCATAGCTAAAAGTAAATATGAATCATCATCATTTCCATGGTAAAATGCAGGAACATTGGGCGCTTCCAGGGTAGGACATGCATATCAGCAGCGCTCTCTAGGCGGACGAGAGATGTCTCGCTTAAACAGAGTGGACGCTCTCCGTGGAGTCGGTCTTGGAGAGATCATCTCCATTCTCCTCATCAATAGGCCCGTGGAGAGACTCGTCGAAGAGAGGATCCATTTCATTCACCTCGAACTTGGTCTTGAAGTCGGAGAGGTTGTGGTGGGAAAAGCTGTTAGAGCGGCGACGAGCGTTGGTGAAGCGGAAGTTTTCATCAACAACTTCCTCGCCCATACTTCCCCTATTGCAGAATATTGTGTAAGTAAAATTTGAGGCATGTCGAGAGAGATGGGACGTGGAGATGTGAAAATAAGAAGAAATAACACATACCAGTTGCCTTTGCCACAGCCGTCCTTCTTGACTTTCTTGGGATCAGTGTCAACGTAGCCGCTCTTGGCAAAGAAGCGAGGCAGCTGTTCTGTCGGAGAGACGCTGCCATCAGCGAGACCCTTGTGGTCACGTTCGCCGTACTTGTGAGAGCGAGTCACTGTTACAGGATGTCAGGTTAGTTACCTTTTCTTTCCCCCGGCAAAAATGTGTAGTATCATGGGTATCACTGGGGTATGGGCTGTAGGCTGACTCTTTAGAGGTGATGGGAGCTATCAGTTATTTGATGGCAGGATGGAAATGTGAGACGGTAGGTGATGAACCTCTTTTGTCGTGTATGCAGTGCAATTGTATACGATACGTTAAGAATATGAGGGGGGCGAAACAAGATGATGGAAGGAACAAGTCTCTCGATGCAACACCGAAGAGTACGTGATACAGATGCGGGGGTGCGTAGCAGCAGCTGGGCAAACTTACTTTTGATGGACGGATGGAGGGAGGCGACAAAACGAAAGCTAGGCGCAGAAGGGGTAAGACGGAAGCAGTTGCGGGGGGAGGCTTTTGGCGATGAATTGGCCGGAGCAGGGCAGAGCAGAGGCTGGCCGCTGGTTGGTAGGAGGGAGACAAAGTTGGAGTAAGGTGAGGAGGCGTTTGCCGGAACAGGGTGCCAGTGGCTTGCTGCGTCTCTCTGCTAACGTGTATACGCGGCGGTGGCTGGTTTTGGGGATGGAGATTGGATGGATCTGGCGAGTGCTGGATTGGAGATGTTGTTTTGGCTGGGTTGGACTGGACTGGACTGGTTTGGGTTGGGTTGGTTGACTTGGGTTGTTGTGAGTTTGGTGAGAGAGAAGTGGAAGTAGAAGTGGAAGAGAGATGAGAGACGAGAGATGAAGGATGAAGGATGAATTGAGTGAAGGTGAGCAGGATGGAAAAGAAGCCGAGAGCTGGGCAGCTTGGGCTTTTGTAGCATTATTATAGCACATCACAGGGTGTCACGCGAGACGTCGGGGGGGGTGGCGCCAATGGACGGGCAGCCAGGAGCAGCGGGCCACTGGCGCAGGCAGAATGCAACGGTGAAGAAGCAGTCGGTGACTGGATCAATTGCCATCCGGAGCAGCAGTCAATCGGGGCCAGCAAGGTTGGGGGCAGTGAATGCGAGCATGTTACTTGCTTCGGCGGAGGGGCAAGGGGGTGCGTGCATGCGGCTTGGGATGCATTGGATCAGTGCCATGGAGCAGTTCCACGCTGTTCTGCCGTCGACAGCAGATTACAGGCTGTTCGGCGCTTGTACTCCGTGCGTCGACGTTGCCGCGTGCGTTCTTGCCCAGAACATCCAGTGGTGGCTCAATAGCATCATATATCGCGTGACCTGACGCAACAGCCGCTACAACTGGCCCCATCAGAGGGCAGAGTCATCAGTTTGAGCGTGTGGGTTGTGCACAGTGCGTCGCAGCTCCTCCTTTCCCTTCTCTGTACTTGCTTCCCGCCTGCGGTGTCTCTGTGTTGAGTCGTGTTTTTGCCTCGACGTTGTTTGATGCCTCCTGCAATCCAAGCAATGCTGCCCAATTGACTTTGTTGCCAAATGCTCAATTGCCCTGCTTGCGGCCGCTGGACCCTCTGCCTAGCCCCGTTTACCCCAGACTTTAGTGACGCTCTGAAGTGGACATGCTTGACATGCTTGTGCTCGGTACCTGGGTACGCCGCAGCCGGCGAGGCACCCACCGCGCGGCGGGGTACGGTGTACATGCAGAGGCCACAGCACAAATGCTCCGTGCTAGTGCAAAACACCAAGGAATTATGGGGAGCGGCTGCAGCGCCGTATTACGGAGCACAGCGCTGCTACGGAGCACAGCAGCTTGCCAGGCCGGCGACGAGTGACTCTTTGCTTGGCGCCTGTCGTCGGCGATTCGGGGGTCTGGGCCTCCCGCGTGGAAACGAGTCTCTCGGCGGCTCGTTTTGCTGAGCCCTGCTGAGCTCGTTTTCTTTGCACGGAGCGCCGGCGGTGGAGCGCCCGTGGCGAAAGTCTCAGCCGAGCGCTTCCGTGTCCGGACGGTCGAGACAGGTGGTGGCCAAACTAGTTGGGTTGAGCTAGCCTGCATAGCCCGCCGTCGAATTGCGAGGATTGCGCCGGTTGCTCACAATCGCTAGATCATCTGGGATGTGGAACAGGAATATGGAGATGGAATAGGCTACGTTTGTTGACTCAAGCAACAAGGTGGAAGCTGACAGGTGAGTATTTGCCGATGTCGCTGGGAAAGAGGTAATCCGGGGCGAACCAAACATACGCGCGAGGCAATCAGCAGCCAATTGCTATACTAGAGGTAATACTCGTCACGCTACGAGGCATTGCAGGAGAAACGGCCTCTAAACTGCGCGTCAGAACGACTCAGACCTGGCACATGACTTGGAGCTACAAAATAGGGGTCCAGCAAGTGTCTTAGCCAAGGCTCCAGCGATGGACGTGAGACATGGCCGTTGGGGAGAAGCTGCCATCGTCATCAGCATTTCGTACGTAAGTAGTGGTCCACATCGAGCCTTGATTTGCCCTGCGCATCAAATACCAGCATACTCTGCAGGGCCGTGGGTGCTGACGTGGGGAGCCTATCAACTATCCAGTCTCTTCTCGAGATCGCTTTGGTTGCATCTGGTACTGACATTGCGACGATGATGCAGGATAATCACTAGAAGCAAGGCGTACCTAGCACACTCCCCACTGCGATCGTCGAGAATGCATTGCTTGGAGCAATCTCTGAATTCCAATTCGTGACCTCAGTCTCGTTCGTGGCCTTGATATCACCCCAAATCGCTCTTGGTCGACTTTCAGTGAGCTGCTGCTTGATGGAGCTGTGGCGTTTGACATTTCCCTGTAATGGAGCTTGCGTCCATAGCCATCTTATAGAGTGATACCCCTATGGTTGCTCCTTTGGATCCAAAGGACTAGTCAACGTTTAATGTCTGTCTCATACGATTACAATAACTTAACGTCCGCCAATGTCAAATATACGCTTCAACCTTTATAGAATAGTTCCCTCATTCGGACGGTAGCTTAGTGATTGGATTTGAAAGCCACTCACCAAAACATTCTTTCATATAATTTGTATAATATAATACATGTAGTACAGTAACAGAACACAGCTACAGAAGCTATTGAGATTGGGGCGGAATAGGTAGTTAGCCAAAGTCCCAAAGTCCCAAAGTTCAAAGTTATATACTAAGCTAAATTGAACAGTTTTGTGCTGGAACAGCTAATGGGATGGGGGAAACAAGAGCGGAGAGCTCCTTGTTTATCGCATACAGATATAAGGCGCCGCAGACGGGCATCTAGTGGTGGTGGTGGTTGTTATTGTCAGTTTTGTCGGTGTTGTCGGCTTTGCGGGTTTGTCGGCGTTGTCGGCGGCGTTGTCGGTTTTGTTGAGAACAAAGAAGAGAAGACGGCACATCGAGACATTAAAGACCATTCATTGATTTCCATATTCAGAAGGCGCATTACGAGTGGCATCTTCTCAAAAATGATCTCCGTAGGTAGTCTTGAGAGGCTGGCAGTTGCGATAGGGACAGAGGCGACTTCATTTATTACCAGATGTTCGCTGCAGCCGAAATGTTCAAGAGTATGCCAACCGTACATGCACTATGCCAGTAGCCTTGTCGGAACAATATATTTTAATTAAATACTAGTACATATTCAGTTACAGTGGAGGCATTCCTGGATCATATCTTAGCTTCAATGTTGTTTAGGGGAGGAGTTTGCTGCTCCGCGTACATTTATATAACTCTGGCAGCACATTGACAAATAGCTCTAATAACAACTAGAAAAAAATAATACGTTCTCATCACCGACTACTTAAATAAACAATTGCGCAGAGTAAAGGGATGCGTTAAAAAACAATTAGGGGTGTAGGCTCATGATCATGAAAACGACCTAACAGGGCTTGTAAAAGCTTGCCTACCATACACAGTTGAATCCTTACTATTGCTGATTCTCGTGTATTTGCAGGAGAAGGATATCACCTCTGTAATTGCGTATGAGGATACATGATGTTGATCTCTTCGCTCTATTCGCTTTATTCGCTGTATTACGTCGGCTCGCCGCAAATAACCTTCACCTAGGCAGCAGTGTAAGTTACTTACCTTCACCTAGGCAGCAGTGTAAGTTACAACGAGTATTCCTTCCAACGACCACTCTCGCCCCGCAAATTTAGCTGCACGTGAAGCGATCCTTCCATACCGAGTATTTAAAGGGGAGGTTCTTGAACTCTTTGCACCACCGACACCACAATCCTCATATTACAGACACAGCATCTCAAATTCTATATATTCTGGTAAGCTATACCGATCTCGCTTCTCAGCCCCGACGAAGTTGGATGCAGAGAGAAGAGGGGCAGCCACAAGACATTAGCTTATCCTCTCACTTACACACGTCCAAATGCTTACTGTCCTCACAGCATCGGTCGCGCCCCTTAATTACGAATTCTGGCAAGCACAGTCATTCAAAATGGATCCCTCTCCAGAAAAGGTTGCTGCGATGATTGCAAAATACCCTTCGTTGAAGAAGGTGGTCGAGACGGGCATCGAGGTAGCCATCTCAAACTTACATGCTGAATAAATGCAAAGCATGGGTTCACTGCTAAATATTCCCCTTATTAGGTCGACGACGGCCGCGAAGAGAAGCTGCTCTCTTTCATTCTTTCCCATCCCGACTTAGAAACCATTAGAGGCTCTCCCTCCAAGATTCTCGCGGCCATCGACGATTTCTCTGGCAAGCACGATTTCCTCATCAATATTGGCGAGAACAAGGCCAAAATTCTGTCCGACCTGCTCAACGAGGAGAAGCCTCAGACGCTCGTCGAGCTGGGCGGCTACGTTGGATACTCCGCCATTCATTTCGCAGACACCATGCGCCGATATAGCAAGCCGGACGCACAGCCCCGCGTTTTCAGTCTGGAGATGAAGGCTGAGTTTTCCTCCATTTCCAGGCAGCTGATTGAGATTGCAGGGCTTTCAGATATCGTGACGGTCGTTACCGGTCCTGCAGAAGAATCGATTCGGAAGCTACATAAAGAAGGCACCTTGTCGAGCATTGACTTTTTGTTTATTGACCACGTCGAGTCTCTATATGCCCCCGATTTCAAGGCCTGTGAAGAACTTGGGCTTCTCAAAAAGGGCGCTGTTATCGCGGCCGATAATGTTATAAGGCCAGGTGCGCCCGAGTATCGTGCTTTTGTCAGGAGTCATCCGAGACTGCAGAGCACTGGAGTAAAAGCTTTGATTCAGCCTGGAGAACTCGATGTAAGTGAAATTTCAACTGCTGGGCTAGGTTGGCCGCTAACTTTTGCAAAGGACGAAATCGAAATCAGTCGTGTGATCAACTAGAATGGATTATTGCCCTGGTACCTACAGATTTGAGAATTATAATAGGGATTTTTCATCCCAGTATTTCGGATGTAACATTAATATAGGTGGCTTTCCCACTTGCCACGTACATTATCTCAACTATTATAACTATATTTTATGAATTCATGAGCGACAAACACCACAGCCCCGTATCATATTCTGTATGACGATTCGCTGCACTTGCCCCCTCATTCAGCTGCCCCTGAGTTCTCCACAATCCATGTTAAACTGAATTCAGCTAGACTACCGACGGATATTGAGCCAAGAATGAAGCTTGGATGAAAGAAGATAATTGATGCAGAACAACAGCACACTCTATATAAATCTGTGGACTTTAAGAGGATGTGGTAGGGTTAACTTGACTCATGGAGTTGTTACTCTTGATCCAGACAACATACTAGTAGGATTTCACTTTGTAGCTACAAGTATTTACTCATACCTTTGCCAAATAAGAACTGTTACCCACAAGCTGAGGGCATATCGATTTACAAGCAACACAAGATTCGTGATATCTGTATGAATCGCAGTATTTCGTTAACAAGATGCTCTTACTATAAAGGATATCGGTAGCAGTAGCAGCATAGGCATAGATACCAAGCAGACGAGAATTGATTGCATAGAACGGCGGGGGAAAAAAAGAAGAGGAAGAGGAAGAAAAAGAAATTAAATCAGAGGCAAAAAGAAAGTTGAGCGACACCTGCAGGATTCGAACCTGCGCGTGCGAACACAATGCCTATGATACCAATTGATAGCAGGGCATCGCCTTAACCACTCGGCCAAAGTGTCTTATCATCTCTTATCGATCCGAGCTAGTAACTATAACTATAAGCTAATGACTGTTTGACAACCCACTTCGACATGTTAGAGCGTCGCTTATCTCGTCTAAGTAGTTTATAATACCTAACAAGGAGGCGACCAATCAGAAGACACTTTGGCCGAGTGGTTAAGGCGATGCCCTGCTATCAATTGGTATCATAGGCATTGTGTTCGCACGCGCAGGTTCGAATCCTGCAGGTGTCGCTCAACTTTCTTTTTTCTCTTTTGTTGGTGACTATTGCATTTCTCTCTCTCTCTGTGGGCAATTAATTGTACGCCTCCTTACTTTTCTGTTAGAGAAGCCCACTGCTGTTCAACAGCGGGGCAAGCGGTGGTGTAGTGTTTGTATCGTCTTACTTCCAAATACAGGTACTTGCTTAATACCAGGTACTCAATCAAGACCGTAAGCGTTTCTAGGGGAGCCAACAAGCAGTCTACTATCTATCAGCTTTACTACTTTTTAAGCAAGAGAAGATAGATCATAGACAGTTAATATATTCACCAACTCAGCTAGTTTTAAAAAAAAAAAAAAAAAAAAAAAAAAAAAAATGCCCAATTATTCTATTTTATTTTTCATGCATAATGCTTCGCGTCCACGACGCCACCAGCTGCCAGCTTCCCAATCTTGTCAGCAAATAATAAAACACAAAAGAGAAAATAAAAGTATTTTCGCTCCCAATGGCCCCTTGTCGAGCTCAGCCCCTCTCGAGCTATGTTAAGTCCTGACTCTCTACACAATAATACTAAATTGTAAACACACGCGAATCATTAAATATATAACCCTAGATTCCGCTCTTTTTCACCTCCATGTCCCGGTTCCCCGTCTAGGTCATCATTACTTTGCCTTTTACCGCGCTCCCATCTTGGAAAACTCATTCTGGAATCGCAGCTTGAAACCGTTACACAGGGCTCGCATATCGGGATATTGATATCCTCTGAGCTCGAAACCCTGGGGAATGGTTCGCACTGGCAGGCCGATTACACGGGCTGTCTTGCTCGCCTTGAAGCAAAGCCAGAAGTATCCGGGATGCTTAGTATCGATGCAGAAAGCGTACGCTGATCGGTTGGGGTTGGCATCCACATATGTAATAAGCCATTTTTCTGCGTCAATATTAGAATATCGCTCGTTTAGGAGAAAGCGAGAAAGGCCAACTAATAAGAGGTATAAAAAAAAAAGGAGAAAATAACTTACCAGTCTCGTTGCGCGATCTGTTTTGGTACTTATCATGCCGCATCATCTCCTCGACTTTCCTGGCCATGGCCTTAACATGGTCCACAATCAACTCGTCCAGATCACTGTAAGTGTATTTGCCGCCTATCCGGAGAAGTTTGCCAACGGAGAACTCTGTATCCTTCTGCATTTCCAAGACATCAATGTGTTGGTAAACGCCATCAGCAACCTTCCAGGTAATGGCCAAATGATCATTACCCTTTGAAGAGGGTCGAATGATGACCTCGCCAGGAGGCTGCGATCCAAGGTACTCCTCCGCTTGAATTGAGTTGTAAGGCTTGAAGTTGGGATGCTTGACAACTCGTTGGGTCCTGCCCGTGGTCTTGTCTTTCTCACGGAGCTCCTCTTTATCGGCAGCCTCGAGGGCATAGTCCCAGCCGTCACGGCCAAAGTTGATAGGAGGCTTATAAGGGATCCGTAGAGACTCTTCTCTCATGGAGAGCTTAGCCATGAAATCCTTGTAATTCATCTCGAGAATCTTGGCTTGTACCGTTTGCCCTGAGCTAAGTACGTCCTTGACAGACGATCTGTTCGATACTTCGTGGCCTTCTATCCTGCCTTCGATGCCGCAGTCTAGCTTCACGATGGCGAAGTCGTCTCTGACCATGCGCACAATAACCGGAACAATCATGCCTTCACACAGGGTTGACTTGGTTTCGCCTGTGAACATGGTGAAAATGTCAGAAGGTGCGAGCAGCGCGAAGCTTCTGCGCAGTTCTTCATATGGAGCTTGCAACTCCGCACTGATAGCCTCTAGAGTAGCTCGCTTGCGTTGGCTAAAGTTCCTCTGCAGCTGGTCGGCGTACTCGTCAAGCACCAATTCGTTCACTCTCTCCTGCTCATCTTGCTTGAAGAGCTTCCGCACGATGGCACCAGGTCCATTCTCATCAGTTTCGGCCTTGACATCCTCTTCATCCAATTCAAGAGCATCTGCCGCCATCTTGCGACCCAGTTCGTAATCTTCTGGGTGAACACGAGTGTTGTCTAGAGGATCTGATGAGGGATTGGTTGCGTCGTACTCAATGTATAGAAAACTAGCGCAATTGTTCCAGACGCGTGGCCCGACGACAGGAAGCTTTCCGCTGTCTGGATCACCCACCAGCTCGTCTCTTGTGTTAACCACACCTCCGTTTGCATTGATGGTCTTGATTACGCTGGTGGCTTTTCGCGGTCCCAATCCTGCAACATAAGGGAGGAGGTTGGCTGTGTATGAGTCGGTCATGGCCTCATTGATATTGACTCCAACCATGTTGACCGTATCAACCATGGCGGACTCTAGATATTTCATCAGCTTGTCCGGAGGGAGGAGATTTTGGCATGGGTGGAATGAGAGAGAAACTACATCTTTATTCAATGCAGCGTACTCTTTCATTGGGTTTTGCATGTATCGTGCCAAGGCGATACAGTATCTTGTGATGGGGTTCAGAGAAGGATGTTCGGCCATCGCACGGGGGCTGTCCTTGTAAAGGCGCGCGACTTCATCCTCCACAACGATGACTTCAAGAAGCTCAGTGCGGTAATCATTTGTCTCGGGATCTTCAAACTCTGCTCCCATGAGGTTCTTCTCGCTCACGAGGCCTTCCAAGTCACGCACGAGTTTCTGTGTATCGGACGACCAACCGCCAACACCAATGACATCGGGGCGCCGTCGCCGTACAAGCTCGACAAAGTTTTCACGCTGAGTCTCGTCTCTACCCAGATTGCCAAATTTGCCTTGTTCAAGCACACGTCCTTCTTCCTCTACCCAAGCCCAGCACACAGGATCGCGAGTGGGATCACCACCTCCGTTGGACAGCACTAGGACTCGGGGAGTGGTACCTAGGATCATTCCCTTAGGCTTGTAAGGAGCTTGATCCAGCTTGCGGTAGAACTCTTGTCGACACATCTTGAGAACTTCGTCCTGGCAAAACGTTCGAATGACTTCTTTAATGTTTTTGGCCACGATCTTTTCCAGCTTAGGATAGGCGAGATCCAATACCTTTTTGCGCTCCTCTCGCCACTGCTCCGCCCGATCACTAAAGTTTTCTGACTCAAACTCCTGGTAGAGCTGTCTCCGGAAGTCGTATCGTGAAGGCATCTCCAGCTTAATCTCCACCAAGCCTTCCTCCTCGGCGCGCATCATTTTTAGGAACACTTCAGGTTGGTGCACCAGATCGGCAATCGCTTGATTCTGTATGTACTTGATTTCGTAGTAGGGATGCGTATCGTCAATCTTTCGCAAGCCCTTGTCTGTACGGCGACAGCTTATTTCTGCTGCCTGGTAAAAAGAGGCTCTGAGATACTTGCGCATCCGGGGGCTGGCAAAGAGCTCTTCGGCATACATCTGGCGAGCAGCATTCATGACTTGATCGCCGGTGTTGAAGTTGTCATCAAGAAGAGTATCTGCAAGATCCATCGGATACTGCTCGTGATCATCTGGCGCAACCTTTCTGCCCTGGCGAAGAGCGTTCTTTGCTAGCTGATCTGCAGTAATTCCGTAGGCCTTGACAAAATAATACGCCTTTCCATTGCGAACACGGTCCAACAGTGAGGATTTCGAACCCGGACGCTTCGTCAGCGATATGTTTCCAGCCAAAGTCGCAAGATCCTTTAGCTTATTAGCGTATTGAAATTGCAAATAGTCCTGCAGATCCTGAATCTCTTCCATAGTGGTGGCTTCCGGGATCATTTCTTCGACCATGCTATCTTGGACATCCATAGATTTGAGGTTGTCGAATGATTTCTCAAGTGAGTTTCTCTTCTCCACGAACGAGCGGAATTTGATGTCAAGCTCTAGGATTCTCCATAGGTCATCTTGGTTCAAGAGTTTATCCGACTGAATTGTGTAATCGGGACCGTCAGGGTCATCCCTGGTCGACTTTCGAATCTTCTTGGAGTGTAGGAGGTAATCTTTTCGGTGTTGAAACACAAATGGAACTTCCACTTCATCAACAATAAAAAACTCGAGTACTTTGCTAACAGCTTTGCCAAAAGGAGCCTGGAGTTCTTGAGCCAAGCCCTTCTTCGGCCAAAGCTGGTTGGTGATCCATCGGGCCTCCTCCTTGAATTGCTCTGCGGTCAGCTGTAGATTCTTGAACGATTTACG